TTTTAAAACGTCAAAAAAGGAATGAAATTTAACCTGTAGAATTTTAAGTGAAAAAAAATGTCAAATTTCCAGTATTAAAAATGAACCGTCTGAGTTTTAAAAAATTTGGATTACACCATTAAATTCTACACACCATTGAAACCTAGGAAATAAATTTAAAATCTCAAAAAAAGCATAAAAAATGAGGTAGAAACATGTATGTAAACAATTTAATTGAAAAAATAAGTGGAAAAAAAAAAATTAATAATCAAAAGTCATTTTATTGGAAAATGGACTTCACCATTAAATTCTACGCATTTTTTAACCTAGGAAACAATTTTAAAAACTTGAAAAAAATTAAAATTAATGGCAAAAATAAATTAATTAAAAATGCGGGCTTAAAAGCGGAATGCGCGTGTGCTGTGCCGCAGCAAAAGCGCGTCAAAACGCGGAAAATGCGGGTTTTTTTATTAAGGCCCTTAATTTAAGTTAAACATTTATGTGATTTAGCAATTACAATCAGATGGAAACAGCGGAACAGCCACATCTGTGTAAATCCAATCTGCTTTGACCCCTCTCTCCACACTACCAAACCATCCATCATCCATTTCCAAATCAACCATAACTCCCAACTTTGGCCCATTGTACTCTGAATTCTGGTAAGTGATTTGAACTTTTCTTGAATAAGTAATTTGCCTTAATAACAACAGGCTTACAGAATTATGAGGCAATATTTCAAACGGAAAAGCCTCATGTGTGACATCCTATTAATACTCATCTGGTTGAAAAATGAAGAGATTGGCACAATAGTTGAGAGCACTGTTGGCATCAGGAATTTACCAGATATAACTCAATTGGCCTTTCCACAAAGCCAGATGTTGCAATCAATTATGAAGAAATTGTTTGGCAAGAACGTTGAGTACAAACTACAAAGACCTGATACAGTTTTTTTTTGTCAAATAGATAACTCAATCCTTGGTGTGCACCTAAATCACAAGGAGAATTTGACTTGTAAAGGCTGTTTGACATGCCTGACAATGACTTCCAGCAGGCTGCAAGGACAACTAAGCATGGTTTTGTTATGGTCTTTGAAACAATTTCCAGTAACAAGGTATTTCACCAGGGGGGGGGGGAGGCGACCTCAGCTCCCAATAGTGCATCAACTGGCTTTAACTCTTGAGAGGATTGGATTGAATGGAAATGGTGTAATGGTTAGCTGATTTTCACGTAACTTGCAAGTGGGCCAAGGAACCGTAATCAAAGTCTTACTAGACTTAGTGGTAGCATGTTGTGAAAGGCCTGAGGGGGGTAGCAGCTCAGTTGATTAAGATATGGGTGCTGCTGAGTCCAGCAAGGGATTGATCTGTGAGCAGGGATCCATAGTCTCTGTGAGTTAATATATAGAGGCTGGATGACAATTGTATCAGATGATAGGCCCATCAAGCCTTGAATGTAGAGCAGTCTTTGACTTAACTGAATATTCCATACAAGGAGGATGTTTTGTGATAGTTGATTGTTGATTGTGAATGGTGGGAGGTGATTGGTGAATATTGAGAGGTGATTGGTGATTATTGAAAAGCAGGTGGGGCACTGAGTTTTCAACCCAAATTTTACTTGTTGTTTACTATAAACATAAAGCTTGGTTGTCCATTTATCTCTGAGAATTAAATAAAATTTTACAAAAGCAGCATATTTTTTTCTTCAGCAAAGTGAATAGGAATCAAGATGTGAACCATCCTACTGAATAAAAAATCTATTAGATCAAAATTTTGGAGTTGCAATAGCAGAACTACAAAGAGGGTTGCATTGAATTCTGCTAATGCATGGTAAAATCACATGTCACATGTGATGTCACCTTTCATTTGGAAATTCAATCAAATTTTTGGTACTACAAAGCTGATAGCATTTTTGCAAATGTGAGGTGACATCACATGTGAAATGAGTTACTGGAGTATCCTGCATGTCAAGTGATAGCAGTTGTGTGAGTTTTTCTTGCAGCACAAAAGTCTACACTATAGCCAACTCCCTATTATTCCATTTATCTATCAAGCCATAATCATTTTAACTTGTGGAAACTTCAGTCCACTAATTTGGTGAGCAGGGAAATTTGATCTTGACCCATCAGTCTCTATAGCCCAGCAAATCATTCTGTTTTTGGAGAAAAAAGTAGATCTCCATGGGTTCATAGGGACTTTTGCCACAAACATTTTAGGTTTTTCAACACATCACATCAAGTGATCTGGCATTCAATTATTAAAAATCTCAATTCAAATATTATTTATTGTTCCCCTCTCCCAATCATTTCTAACATAATTTCTTACATAATTGTTTAACTGTTGTGTAACCAAGGCCAAACCCTACATACTTAATTCAACACATCAATGTATTACATTTTTGTGTCACATGTCAAAAACATGTCCAAAAATTCTGGAGCCCTCTATTTTCATTTCTTGATGTCCAGGAAGAGCAATTTTCTGAAAAGAAAACCAAGGCTCAAAAATGTATTTTAATGGCTGAAAACCAAACATGGTAGTCTTTCCAAAGAAGAAAATGGGTGAATTGATAACACTAGTGTCAAGTGGAAACTTGTTTGTTGAATTCATCTATAGCAATATGAACTTTTAACCAAGAAAGCAGTCTGCTAAAAATTGAAAAATCCTCTCTCACCTAATGTATTCAATTTCTATGAGTTAAAAGAGATCTTATATCAATAAAACTATGAAAACATGGGTAAATAGGGAGCTATCATTTACCCATGGTTTCACAAATCACTTTCAGTGGAGGAATTCCCATTGCCATTTAGAGTAATTTTTAGAGCTGTCCAAGTCCTGACATCAGAAACCAACAATGCTCAATTGATGACAGTTGAAATCAGGAAACGTTCAGCATGCTACCCACTTTGAACCCATCTCAACTGCAGTTCAAACTAGTACACAAGAGGGCCATCACTGGGGTTGTACTCAATGTTACATGATGACACCTGTCATCTGGTGAGCATTGTTTTTCCTGGTGTAAATCAACAAACAATGCAATTGAAATTACAACCAGCTCACATGAGAGCCATTGATAGAAGCAACGGTGCAACAGAGACAATACAAGACAGTATCAGGTGTTTATTTGTATTGCTCAGAATGTGAATACCCAAAAATACCGGATTTGTGTTGTCTCACTTTCCTGAGACAATACACATGTATTGTCTTTGAAAAGTGATACAAGTATTCTGTATTGTCTCAGATGACTGATCCCCACCAAAACCGTATTTGATACACAATATATCTGGCCGTATTGAAGAAAAAAAAACAAAGACATTTTTTCATTTGTAAATCTGAATCCGAGACAATAATTTTTTTTCTCCAAACAAGAAAATACTGATACCAGTATCAGGCTCAAAATAAAGACAATACAATCTGATACAAATACATGTCTCATATCTGTTGCACCGTTGATAGAAGCAGCGATGGGTAGTTACTCTACCCGTAACAGTAGCGTAACGATAGCGTAACACCATTGGAATCTATATCGCTACCGTTAACGGTAACAATTGTTTGCTACGCTACTGCAGTGAAGAAGTTAGGTTTTTTTTTTGGTTGTTACAATAACAATGGGGGCAGGGAGATTATTTTATTTTTATTTAACCTACTAGGTAAATGGGGTTGTGGTCGCTACTGTTAACGATGAAAATAATTTCGTGTAGATACATTAAGCAAGCAACCACTCTTATGTGGATTGCATCGGAACCAACACTCCCAACGCCTTGCCAGCATCGTAGAAGGCGCCTGTGAGAGGTGTTCCCTTCCGGAGCCACATGAGGCTGCTGACGCAGCGTGTCATGGTAGACGGAAGCAAGCGACCACGGTTGCTGCTGCATACGTCTTCCGCCGCCGAGAAAAGCCTCTCAACTGTGCATGAGCTTCCGGTGGATCCTAAGTATGCCCGAGCCATGACAGCAAGGGTCGGGTAGGTCTTCTGGTTGGCCTATCAAGTAAGCGACAATACAAGTTAAACAAAACGATTCCTTTGTGGGTATTGCGTTACTGGCACGCTACGCTACTGACCGTTACATAAGTTACAATACTATTTATTTATGATAAAAAAAACCTGGAAGTTACGATGCAGAGATTGAGTGAATCACTCCGTTACAGGTAACATTATCTGGGAGGGGGAGTAACTACAAAAGGTACGCTACTCAGATAACACTGTTATTGTAGTGTATTGTAACTACCCATTGCTGATAGAAGGCTTCTGAAAAGATATTTTTTTGAATGAAAATTCCAATACAAGGGGTTTAAATTGACTTCTGGGAGGGTTCTTTATTATAAAAGGAAGTCATCCAATAGAGACTTACACTCTTCACCCATGATCCTTACAACACATAGCAAGATTGGTCTACAAATGGCAATGGGTAAGTAGGGAGTTGTCTGTACAGCCCCTTGACATAAAAAACTGAACTCATGCCAGCTGGAATTGCATGGAGGGGTTCCATTATTTCTGTCAAGGGGCTGTACCATAGTAAAGTCAAAAGATTATACAGTTGCAGATGGCATAGACCAACCCTGCCCTGCCTGAAAAATTTAAAGTGGACATGTGGGACCTATTCCTGGGGGACATGTACCCTGACACTCATTTTTATTACATTTTTAAACTTGTACAATTTTCTATATTTTGAAATTGTAAGCACTAATGATTTAGCGTAGTGGTTCTTTTTTGGTTTGATGAGATTTTTTTTTGAGAAGCCCTCAAAAAGGCATACTTTAACCCATAAACATGGTTTGAATGGTGAATAATCATGTGGTTATGCTTCTCGAGCTTTCATACTTCACCTGCAGGATCTATCTTATGCATTCATCAATGCTCTGAAGTATGTTTTGAAGGCTCAAACAAGCTCAAAAATCTTGATTTTTTGTCCAAAAATTTGGACATCCAAAAATCCAGGGTTGGTTTTTGCCATCCACAACTGTACTTGTTCAAAATTTCCTGTGAAGGTGACCCAGGGAATCAGATTAGTTTTTTGAGATGGGATGTGGATCACTGAATATTTTGTCTAGGGCAAAACAATGATCCTGTGGGGTTTGAATGGGGCTAGCTGTTACTTTGAAATTTTGAACTAGTGTTCCACCTTTTGCACAACACATGGTTGATTGGTTTTAACTTTTGAGCTTCAGGATAGTTGGATTTCATGATGGATAGAAGAGTAAATTGCTTGATAACTTCTCTCACATGAAGTGTCCCAAAGGTGCCACAAGTCTCTGGGGGATGTTTTCCGTAGGAAATAAGGGGCTGGTAGGCAATGGCAGCCTATGTATGTGGTTCCATAGCTTCCGCCACGGAGGACTTGTGTTGAGCTAGAAGAATTGATATGTTTGACAATTCAAGTGCTCTTATTATTGCTTTGCAACAGGTTGAGTGTGCAGCAAGAGGTTTGATCATGATATTTAGGCATTTATTTCAACATATACACAGTAGCATGTATAACATCCAAACATAAGAAAAAGCCTGATAAGGTTCTACAGCTACCCCGGGTTACTTCATCTTGAGAGTTGTTGTTTTCATGGGCAATCTAGTAATTCGTCTTCATTGTTGACCTTGCGACAATTGAACGATGGCATATATGTTGGAGACAGAACATAGAGCAAAAATCAACCAAGTAATGACTTTCATCATGCGCCCATTTGCAAAGGACACCGTGGGGCCGATGGCGGAGGTATGTGCTTCCTTTTTCATGTTCTTTTTGTTTGTTGCTTGATAGTGTACAAGTTCTTCTGGAACTTCAAGATGGGGGCGGATTTGTGCTGGTTCGATTCTTACCAATTCGGTCTTGTGGCTCTTTACGCGCATGATTTCTGGGTCAGAGGTGAAGATGATAAGTGGGGCCAAAACAAAACTGCACCGCAATCCATCCAGAACACGCATTAGCTTGTTTGAGATGCCTGAAGTGGGTAGAAGTGGGACCTACGGTAGCACAAGACTCAAACCGACTTGACTTCCAACCAGTAAGTGATCAACACCTTGAAGGCCGGCAGCCCCAGCCACGGCTGCAGATGGTACGATTCCAATCATCCTTGTAACTAGTCGCCGGATTACAGGCCGGGTGCGCCACTCCAAAAAACCCTCTGAGACAATTTGACCCGCTAGGGTAACGGTAATCGAAGCCGCTTGCCCTGCAATGAGAAGTGCGATAGCAAACAGATAACCTGCCATGGGTCCAACTTGACTACCAAGCAGCTCGTAGGCAGATTGTAGATCAAGTGATTCGTTTTTCTTAACACCAGGATCAGATCCGTAGTAGAATGTTGCGGATGCCACTATCAGTATGGATGCATTGACAGCTGCAGTCGATAGGATGTGCGCGTGCAATCAATGATAGGACCGCAGTCTGTTAATTTCTAAGGTCTGTAAGATATCCTAGTATTCCGCTGACTTACGCAGAGCTAGAGTAAGCAGAGATGCGATGATGTCGAAACTGGCATGTGCAAGATGAGTTTTGGTACGCTTGACGGAGACTACAGTGGCTTCCAAGTTACAGGCGTCCAGCTCGCATCGGCTTTCGATGCCGGGTGCCTTGTTGATTGAACTGAAATGTCCAGTAACTAAATCTTTGTCCATTTCATCTAGATGGAGGCTTTGTGAATTTTCAGGTAGTGTCTTTCCAGGATGCACAGGAATAGCACGTAGGCGCTCGGGGATGGCCACTTTGGACCCTTTTTGATGGCAGGTGACAAATTAGCACTGAACAACCTTGTTTGTCCTATTTCTTTGTGGTATTTAGTTGAAAAATTACACGCACCCAGGAAGATCGAGTGTGGCATAACGGTAGCTCCTAAGGTTGGAAGTTCGCCACCCCACAAAAACCGGACGATTGTGGAATAATGTCATGGTATCAGTTGGATCAAAGAATTTTTTTTTTTCTAAATGGCTTGAGGACAGACAGGCGACAAACCAATAAGGCTGACCGACACGTATAGTCCACCGTTGACGATCATGCGTCGGTTGGGAACAAATCCCTCGAAGGTCTTTCCCCATTCTGGCTTGACAGATACAAGCAAAATGATAAAGAAAATCACAACGATAAAAATAAGGAACGCAACAAACACCTCAAAGAAATGCATTGATTTGCGGTGTTTGTTCGAAACGTCTGGATATGAGCTGAAAAAGGCAAGGACCACGAAGACATCCATGGAAGTTAATAAAACCCCCACAAAGAGCGGAAGGCGAGGAAAAAGCCTGTAGAAGGGAAAATGATTCGGCGATGAGTGAGTGAGCTAATCGCTTGCTTTTGTAACTTGGGATTAGGGTGAAAGCCTAACATGTGTAAAGCAATTGCAGATCCTAAAAGTTCTGCTAAATCAGTAAAGCTTTTTTTAGATTGATATATGGTTTCGTGATGCAGGAGGAGGAATAAGCGAGTCAGTGCTAAAATCCAAGTGATGTGTAAAGCAGTAGGTATGGGTAACCTCACATGATTCCTCCTTCACACAAGAAGTAAAGTGGATATAAAACCCCCCATCTCCAAAGAAGCTTTCGTTTTGGTCGATCGTAAAACCTTTCTCTACAATGTTGAGCTAAGTCTAGGAGGGCAGGCGAATGAGGGGGAGTGAGGACACAAGTCAAGATTAACCGAAACGTAGAGTGAAAGTCCAGCTCCAAAAGTGCCCACCTTTACCCGTTATGTATCCTAGACGAGTGGCCAAAACTTGCAAAACGCTGGCCATCACCGAGGCGGAAAGAATGACAAAAAGATGAGCGTATCCATGGGAAGAACCTGCTCCTAAGTCAGTAGCCCACTTTTTTTCTCCGGAGAAGAAGATTGTATTGGAAGTGATATCGATGAAAGAAAGTTAAAATTAACACGTATCGTGACATTAGTATCAGAAAATTATGATAACTACTTGGGATGAAGGTTGCATCATGAGATTTCAATTTTGAACAAAATGGATTTACATTTCCCGGGTCACAATAGGCCACACTGAAAAATAAAAGTGAAAATTGGAGTGAGCTCGTCAGTATGGGTAAACATAGGATCAAGATATCAGTGTCCCCCTCCCCCTTTGGCTTTTGTGGTTAGGAGCTGAAAGAGGATAAACAACGCTTATGCGTCTTGCGAGACTTGCAGTAAGCTCAGGTAAGGTACGTTTGTGCAATAGACATAGAGGTCTGTACGTCAAGGTTTGTGTGTTTTGTAGGAAAGGGATGGCCAATGAGACCGGTATAGTTGGGGGAAAAACTTGTCGGCGCATTAAACATAGATGTGTAAAGACTTACGACGCCACCAACCCAGGACCAATGAACCTCAATTGATTTTTACAAATTTGTTTGATCTTGGTGCATCTACTTGATGGAGAAGTCTTTGAATTGGGTGCCGAGAAGTCGAAGCTCGGCTGGGTGCGCATCTTGGGTGGTAATCTTTGTTGACTTGAAGGAGCGGCGGAGCTTGTGAACTACGGATGGCGGCACGTTGATCGGCGAATACAATTTTGTTTTGATCATAAGAATCGTAGCTTTGTTTCCTGCAATGGCGATTATACGATTAAGGAGATGTGGTTCGCAAGTTGCACACGAATAAACCCCGATCCTCCCTCGATGCTCCCACACATTCCTTAACTTACAGTAGCTGAAACCGACCCTTGAGCTCATGCTTTAAATGTGTTCCATTGCTTGGGAGAGTTGTGGCTACGAAACCCATCCGTGCCCGTGTCTTTCGGGACTGAACGGATTCCACTCGCCCGGAAAGGCTTACCGGGACCGCTCCAGTTGATGTATTGGCTGTGACTTGTGCTATATGGCGGAAAAGATGGGATCTTGAGAGATCTTCTCAAACCAGACGCTGTGATGTTTTAGGATCTCCTATTTGGAAGGCTCTGTTTTGCGCAAGGTGGCATGTCCACCGGCGATAACTGCTGACCTGTGTGAGCTATCACGTAGGCATGAAGTCTTCCTGTCGCTAGCACCGTGATTTCGCAAAGCTCTCCAGTCACGGCAAATCGTAGCAAGCTCTAGCAAGCTTGATGCTCGATGTAGAATAAACAGTGGAGTGTACAGAATATTTCATCAGTTGGCAACACGTGGGCTCCAAAGCTCATCTGAGTCATCGCAAGACCCAAGGCGTGTATGTTCCATCTAAAACTACGCACATGAAAAGTTTCACCACCAAATTGGCAGTCCCTGTTTCTTCCGGGGTGTCACTTTCAAGTGTGTGACTCGTTCCAGATCTGGGCCAAAAAATGAAAATCTCATTCCGGACGAGCGGCGGTACATGCAAGGACGCCATGGCACAAAGTATGAGTGCAGAAGGCATCCTCTTGCCAGCGCGGAAATCAGAGGGAATGCAACTGGTTGAGTTATGTAGAGCAAAGGCTTGATCAAATGTGAGGGGGTTTCAGGCGGTCCTAGTCTGCGTACTGTGAGTTGGTGGAGGGACAAACAGCACCGCAACTCCGGGATCAGCGATGGCAGGGAAACTTGTCGCAGTGCATAGGTTGCTGATCAAGTGTTTCCGCCAGAGTGGTAGCGGAGGCGCCGCTCAGACAGCTGCGAGGGTGGCTTCCTTCCAACGTGCGTGGAAGCGACGGTTCCACCGGGCATTTTCTTAAATGTTGAATGAATTTGGCGAGGGTGGCTTCCTTTCAACGTGCGTGGAAGCGACAGTTCAAGAGGGCATTTCCTTAAATGTTGAATGAATTTGGCACCGGAAGCGGCGTGGGCAACTCTTTTGTGAGGGGTGCAAAAGCGGGTATTATTTCTTTTGGCAATTTATTAGGGGATCCAATCAACCATACAAAACATATTATTTAAAATTCCGCTTAATGGGTACAAATTAGGAAAGCGGGCTCTGGAAAAGATTAAAGGTTAAATTTAGAGGGATGATTTGATAGCCTTGATGAGGACTCTCTCTTGGGTATCCCCCGTAGCGTCGAAGACGTTGACTCCGGCCAAGCCGCTAGACTTAGCAAATTTGGTCTTTCGGGCTAGAGATCTAGGGTCATCGTAAGAAATGAAAGTCTTACTCGATGGGTCAAAGAGGAAAGGCTGGGAAAGATTCAAAAGATGGTATTAGTCAGGTCACTTCATTCGAATTTCGAGGTACCTAGAAGTAAGTCAAGTACTCACAGTTCTCGAGCAGTGATCGTAGTGACGAGTAAAACCCTTGAGGCCTTGACTTCCGTCAGCACTGAGCATACCGCAAGCTACAAGGTCTTTGTAGAGCCACGTGTGGCCATCTTCCTCGCCACCACAAGTGGTGGGGCCAGCGGTAGAACTTTCAGTGGGAGCGGGGGCGGCAGACTTGTCAAACTTGGAGAAGAATAAGCTGGTGAGGTTGCTCTGGCCTGAGAAGTTGGTTGGAGTTAGCTCGGAATTGGGCATGGTGTACTTGTACCCGTAGGCTGGTAATCCCAACAGGATTTGAGCCGCGGGGAATCCGGTGGAGGTCCAGGTTTTGATGGCTTGGTCAACCGAGAATTTCACCTCAGGGTCATTGCAGGTATCAAACATTGGGGCATTGGGACCGGCCAGCTCGCCTGATGAAGGGCTGTAGAGGTCGTAGGCCATGATGGTGATAAAATCAAGGACCTCAGCATAAGCCTTGTGGTCTGTAAGGTACTTACCGTCCGGTCCCATGAAGCCATGGACGGCGACGGCAGCAGAAATTCGGGCCTTGGATCCCAGGACCTGGCGAAGGGTCTTCAGAAACTTCAAGTAATTGGCCGAGTCATCCTTGGACAGGATGTTACCATCATTACCTGGGACGTTGGGATATTCCCAGTCGAGGTCAACACCATCAAAGTCGTACTTCTTGACGGCGCGCAAAATGGTCTGGACGAATGTTTTGCGGCTTTCTTCGTCGGCCACCAATTTGCTGAAGTACTTACTTCCGGTCCAGCCACCAACGGTGAGTGAAACGGAAACTCCGTGGGACTTGGCACCGGAGACGACGGCCTTGAGGTTCTCTTCATTTTCGATTTTTAAGTCATCACTGGGTTCACTACCAGTGGTGGCAACAAAGTAATCAAGATGGGTGTAGAGGTCCCATGGGATACTTTCCGGGGGTAACAAATTGGAATGGTAGCCCTGATTTTTTTTTTTTTTTTTTTTTTGGGGGGGGGGGGACAAAGAGGTAAGCCACAAATTGCGGGTTTTTGTTAAGATGGAAGGCGAAGTCAACTTACGGGATAGTAAACTGCAAGAGTTGGCTTTGATTCGGCACGGGCAACCAGGGCGCCAGTCCCTGAAATAAGGTGTAGGGCCGCAAACAGTGCGGTTATGACTAGCATCGCAGGGTGGGGCTTTTTGGTTGGCGCGGATAGGGTGGGCTGGGTGATAAGGTGAGGGTGTGGGGAAGGACTTGCGGGTGGAAAGGAAGGCGAAGGGGGTGCTTCGAGGATATGTGTTGCTGGTAATTTGTTTGTCTTTGACTGGTGGTCAAGTGTTGAGGAGGTTGATGGATGAGGAGAAGGACCTGGGGCTCACGATTGCTTGTTTTTATACCCCTCAATATCTTCACTTGAAAGCAGCCCATTGCAGTGTTCAGCAAATCAGACAAGTTGAAAAGTAACTGTGGTGGCAGAGAGAGCGCCGACACGACATATGAAGAAGTAGATATGCTCTTCGAAATGAACGTGTTCCGGCTCTTTTGAGCGGTATGTGCTTGCAGAACAGTCGCGCGCGACCATTTAACGTGCAGGTCGAACATTTTGAGCCAGCAGACTCAGGAGAAGGCAAGCTTTTACTGAAAAACAGCTGAGAAGACATGAGCTTGGTGGAAACATTCTTCCGACAGAGGGATGACTTTGCCCACCTCCGACAGCGCACCGGTTTGCTTTTCATTGGGTGATGTCAGCTTATCACATGTTCAAGACCACTTTTGCTGCATTCCCCCCCCCCCCCCCCAACACATCCTGCGATTCCGTTATTGCTTTCTACGAGGCTTGTTGCAGTCCGCATATGGGCATTCAAAATGATTCCGGCCGAATCTGACCCGGGACCGTCACGGCAAATTGACCTGCGATGCACGCCGAATTGTAGTGCCGGATACCACCAGCGGAGCTGACTGTGTTGCTAGCCTGATCGCCATGTCCATTGACCATGTACATAGCCCTTCAGCTGTGACTCAGGTGTTCAACCGCGTCCAACTAAAGGCGCTGCGCGGACCAGAGGGGCTTGTCTTTTCTCCCCTATTCTTGGGACTCGGGGGGAAGCGGGCAAGGACCCCGGAAAGCCCCCTAATACTAATAGGGGGTGTTGAAAAAGGTATGTGAAAATGGCAAAAAAGCCAAAATCATACTCTTGAAATGGGTATGAAATTGTGATTTTTGTCGAAATGGTATGTACTCATGAAAGAGGTCATACTAGGTATGTGAACCTGGTTTAAACCAATAAAATCTTGGTATTTGGCCCCAGATTGGACATTTTACGGGGGGCTACCCTTTTTTAGGGGATTCTAGCCTGAGCATACTCTTTTTTTTTTTTTTTTTTCCAAGTGCTATTGATTTCACATACCGCACTATAGTGTATATCATCTGTATGTACAAAAAAACCCGTATACCAAAATGGGCAAAAAAAATTATCTGTATTTTATAAGTGCCTAGTGTTTTGATGACTACAGTGTGATTAATCCAGCGGGTAGAAGAAAAGGAGGGAGAAAGAAATTAAAATTTGCAACAAACAGAAATCATGGTTTCCATCGCCTCCTCTTGCGGCTTTGGATTTCTTGTTTCATTAGTGGGCAAGTATCAGACCATGGGGAGTGAGAGAATTTTTCATCTGATGTGTTAACTGCTTTTTTCGATACAAGTTTGTCATGAGAAATGCAGACACAGCAAGTAGAGGAAGAAGGTGTTGATAGGTCACAAGCTGAAGATGTGTGATTGCCATGACATTTGTGACAAAGTGGAGAATTTTTGCACCATTGAGAAGTGTGTCCAAGTTTCCAACAATTGAAGCATTGTGGGATTGATTGTTTGTAATGTGCACCTCGATATAGTTCGTTTTGTAAAAATAGGCCGGACCGTTCGATTTTCAGCGCAATGTCTTTGTCTAGCAGTTGAAGTACCAGTGAACCGTTCTTCTTTCCTTTCTCTATTGGGTTTCCGAGCCATTGAGCTGATTGAATCAGGTTTGGATCAATCCTTGAAAAGGTATGTATTAATTTTCCAAAAAAGCGACTCCCCGGTGTGGTCATTATTCCTGTGTATGAAGGGAGAAAATTTCAAAATTTTATTATTTACCAATGAAGGACTCAAGATATGGACAAATGGACGTCAAAAATGGAATCTACGGCCAATTTAACCCCTAGTCACTCACTGGAACCACCCTCATATCTCTACTGGATCAGAAGTTACGCAGAATCAAGGATGTCACACGGAGAATCACAGGATCAGAGGCACTCAGCTGGAGGGTATATTGCATGGGGGTATATTGCATATTGCATATTGAATTCCTTTTATTCATATTGAATTCCTTTTATACTTACAGAACCACAAGTTGGCCACCAGTTGTATAAGTTAAATTCCCATTTATTCAGCCACAGAACACATGAATTCCTTTCTTACAGCTTACATATAAAAGGGATGCATTGTAGATAGTCTAGCCAAAATCCCTCAGGATTTTCAAGGATAGGGCAGCTAAAACGCCTCACTTAGGGGGTCCCTTGGGGCTAAAATCCCTCATAAATTACTATATAAGGAGGCCTTTGCCTGCCAGTTGTTTCCCTCCTCATCCCACTCAGTACACATTTTTGGTGGGACACCTGTCACAGATTACATATATTTATTACACAAGAAGTTCACGAGTAGTACAGTTCACAGATTGAAATATATACACAGTTCATTTCACAAACATTACACAGAAGAGCCAGTCCTTTGTTCCAGTCCTGGTTGAAGCATAGTGCTCCCAGACCCTTTGGGTTCAAGAACCACCTCTATTACATTATACATATACAGCATCAAGGAAGAGCACGAGTATCAAGACATCAAGACGAGAAACAACATCAACAACTCAATCAATTCTTTGGACAACAAGATCAACCTTCAACAATTATACAACCATCTTTGAACATAATCCATTATCACCAACCAAACTGCCAAGCTTACCTTGGTGGTCTTGTTTTCTGATAATATAGAAAGGCAGAGTTTGCAGCTCATTTCATCCCTTTCTCCATTCAGCAAAAAGGATCTTACAATCACTTTTTGAGTCTTACACCGGGGGCCCCCGGGTATGAGTTTTGCCAAAATTTGAACTTTTTCAACACCCCTCTATCCTAGGGCTTTCCGGGGTCCTGCGCCAGCCCACGCAAGACTTTTTCTTGATACATACTGGGATTCTTAAAGAGAGAAAAGCCTTATCGCTCAATGGCTGGCTTCCACTATTATCCACACTCTGGATTTGGAGCTCCTACACCCATAGCACCCTCTAATGTCCACATCCCCACACCCACAACACTCTTGATCAATGCTCAAGTTAGTCCAAATCCCAAAGTAAAAGAATGGAGAGTGGAGTCACATTGCTAGTCCTGGAGTAAGCAATTCAGAGTAGAAGAATGATCAAAGAAAGAAACTCCAGGACCCTGTGGGTACCTATCAAACTGCATCATAATGTAAATCCAGTCAGCGTGATTAGATGGTGTTAGATGGGAAATTGCCCAAAATATCTACCCTTTGTTCCTATCTTATCCCTCTTGGGAGTTTACAGCCTCTGATAGCTACAAATAGACACTTGTAAGTTCTTATGAGTCCTCTAAGTAAATCAGGATCATTATCAAAGATAATAAATATCATGTCCAATACATATCTGGTGGTTGATAAAAGGAGTATTTTGAAAGAGAAAGGTATTCAGGGATGTTGGGCTTGCTACATTGTTTGTAGCTATGGGTTGAAGGGACTTCTGAGGGACTTGCAAATCAAGTTACATTTCTTGTGGTAGAAGACACACCAAGATAACTGGGTTTATTGTGGTCTTTTGTTGGCCAGCTATGTAAGAATTTTTAGCACTTAGTTTCATTAAGCTTCCATCCATTTGTCACCATCTTCAAATAACTTATCAGCCATGTTCAGTATTTTCTTCTGATTCAGGTTTGATATTTTGCTTACTGATGGTCAAATTTCTCATCATTCCAGACAGACAGTTTGTGGAATTAGAAATATTCCAATTGCATTCTGAGAAAGCAAAAAATTGTAGGAAATTGAGATCTTTTAACTTTATTGCAGCAAACTATTCTAAATGCTAGTAGTAGTTAACACTTTAATAAAGAAAAAGAAAAAGAAAAGTTAATAAAAGAAGAGAGACATTATAAAGAGATAAAGAAAGTACATAAATAAACAAGTGAGAAATATGTACCTTCTTATGAGTCAGATCCTTACTTAACCCAAAAAAGATTCTTCTTGAAGATTATAAAAAGGAGATGAAAAAGGTAAAGAACAAACAAGCCTGAAATAATACATAAAGTCAATAACAGAACCATAAGCAAGAAAAAGAATGAATGAGACAAACTATTGAGAGAAAAAGAAGTGACATGAATAAAGGAGAGAAATGAGATAGTGCACCTCCACTTGATTCTAAACCATGCTCCTCCTGAATCTTGTGAATCTAATTTGATGGTTGTGTTTCGGAATCCAGACTTGCAATATGGGACGTTGGTTGAAAATTGATTAAGGGCTTGTTTGTTGTTCAACGGAATAGGATGTAAAAAAGATTTGTTCTGAAGATCAAAATCAAATCTGCGGGACTTGAACTTGAGAATGAGAAAACATAACTCGTGGCAACCAAGTGACTTATATTGCATATTCATCTTGCAATTAGACCTATTTTCCAACAAAAATTGAGGCTGTGAGAGGTCCAGGAGGGTGAATTGGGAGGTTGTCTGATTGGTGGACCTTTGATGTGAGGTTAGGGCTGTTCAGAAGGACATTAATGGAAACCAAGTTTGATCATTGGGGGGGGGGGCAGAACCATTATCTTGATGGTGTGGGGAAATGAGATTATGATCAAGATTCATAAGGCACACATGACAATTCTCTGGTACTTCAGCCATACTTGGAGATGTCTCACTCTTATTGGTTTGGCCAGAACCCAGACTATTTACCCTTGGAAGTGGCCTGGTTGCAGCTTCTTGTTCTTTTCACTGAATGCTTGGTAATCCTGAGTTGAGTTATATTTTTGGATTGGCCAATGGCCAGGGCTGTTGTAAGATTTTAGTTTACTTTCAAATGAGTCCATGCTCCAAAACAGCTTAAATCCCTCTCTCTGCTGTCATCTGTCTGCCAATTTCTCTTATTACAACAATCATGAGTTTGGTTTTTTTTAAATTGATTTTCAAGGATGAGATGGTCAATTTATCTGGAATCTTGATATAAAGTGATGGCCATCATACGAGTGTTTGATGCGGCAGTAGTCCATATATGTTGCGGGGCGATACTTCAGTTTGATCGAGTTGATTTTTCTAATTTAGATGGTTCTGGTAACGGGTCTTCGTTCCTAGCAGCTTCCAATAATGGTTTGAGCTGACGTGAGTCGAGTGCCTCCTGGATAAGCAGAGACAGCGATGTGAGTCAGCAGGATGATGCGACATTCAGCAGGGAATGATTGATGAATGTGGGGACGTACGTTGAGACAGGAATGGTATTGGAGCCATTTCTGTCCGCAATCCTTCTCGTACTGTTCCTTGCTTCGGGCCAGGACCCGCTTGCGATCATTCCCTGATTCGTAGTTGGCGGTGAGGGTGAGGTACTTCTCGAACCATAGGTTGAAGCAGGCATCGTATGAGTTCTTGAGTGGTGTGCATTTCGGTTCGAGTGAGTCCATTTCCGTCGATCCAGATTGGGACTGATTGGAATCCGACTGGATGAAGCAGGCTACGTCAGGGGGTGTCCAGTCTGTGACATGTGTGGTTTTGCTGTGATGGGTTTCACAGGTATGAGGATCTCCACAGCTGGCCATTTTACCAAGAAAAAAAAAAAAAAAAGAAAAACCCAACCAAAAACCAAACAAGATGGTCCAACAACAACAGCAACAGCAACAGCATCTATCACTTCAAGATAACAGTAACAGAGCTGGTCCATCTAATAATATCACAACCCCCGACAAGAAACCATCAAAACATCAACTCAAACTGATCCAACACCCACACCAACAAGAACCACTCAAACATCAACTCTCATGGCCGGGCCCAGGAACTCCTACTATCGTACTAGATCAAGTCTTACTCCCACTCAGTCCGACAGAGGACCCATTGATACTCAAGGTCTCACCTCGTCATCCAAACCAGTACTATTCTGCAAGTCCATCATATCGACACCAAACAGCCAATCAATCTCAACCCCCACCACGTCGATCAATCATCATCCCATCCACAGCTACTCGGACATCCGATTCTGAGAACCAACACAACCCATTATTAGACCTCTCCAGAACCACCGAGCATCCACCACCACGAACGAGAAACCGCTCCATCGTCAGCCCAGCCACACCCCCCAAGCCAAGAATATGGGACGATGATAATGCATTTCACGCGTTTCAGGTGGAACACTCCAAGTTAGGCGTCGATCTCACGATCTCCTGTGACGAATCACCCGCAGAGACGACCGACAGGAGACAAAACAAAAACAAGGAACGAAAGAAACACAAGATCTCAATGGGCCATGTCGAGATCGTGATGAGCGAACTAGACAAGGCCAGATTCAAGGCTCAACATAATCACAATCGGCTGCAAGTTAGATACTCAACAGATGGTCTGCGCAATATGGAGATCGAGGAATCACGACGAACTGGATCACCATCATCAACCCCGAGTCATCCGGATGGAAACCTCTCTCATCAAGACAGCCAAAGATCATCTCCTTCCACCGGTCCGCATCAACTTAGCCCAGTTCACGAGCCGAATCACCGAGAAAACGCGTCACTGAACTCTGGGTCTGTTAGTTCACTCGAGCACTCCAGGTCGAGATCTAGATCACCTGTCTTCCGGCATCAATCTCACCTATCTATATCTAGCTCATCAGGCAAGGAAGAAGCAAACTCATCATCAACAAACGAGAGAGAACAGCAGCCCAATAGATCATCCTCTGAGGCTCATGAGCAGGAAGATACCTCACCTTACATACCAGCTGAGAACCGCTTATCCAGCTCACCAAGGAGTGAAGAAGCAAGTTTACCGGAAGTGAACGAGACAGAACACGAGCCAAGAGGATCATCCTACGAAGCTGCTGCGGAGCCAAAAGATGCCTCGAATTATCGCCCATCTGAGAGCCGACGCGAAACTCCCTCTCCTCTGCATGACCGTCGCCCCTACGCCGAGAACGACACGCTCAAGCCGTCTTCTGCTATGTCCAGAAACGCCCTTTCTGATATACCTTCTCGACGTCTCACTAGTCGCAAAAGCCCCGGTGGATTCATTCGCGAGTCAGAAGAATACCAACCCGACGCGTCTCCTATCAACCAAGACGCGTTTCATATCGATCAAGAGACGTCTCACACCAGCCAGAAGGAGTCCCCAGTTTCAGAAAACACAATGGGCCGTGTACATGAACCAGAACTGGCGCGTGATCGGATGTCACCGGAGTCGCCAGTGCCTCAGGTATCTGGAATGCCCGAGCAAGTCGTCGGTTCCGATAGCGATCAAGAAGGGCGCTCTAATGATGAGATTGCATCGCGCTTATGCTCGGTTGAAAGTGGACATGATAATCTACCTGGTCATCAACGTGACTATAGTGAGGAAGAGGAGGAAGAAGATAGGCAGGGGTCAACGACTGAAGAAGACTCTGCTCGGTCGCCTAGTCCGACCCATCCATCTTCCCCAGTCATCGACATCATCGACGAAAACAGTCAGGCCAATCCGATCCCGATTTCCTCATCCGTCTCTCCCTCTGGTATGTCAATCTCTTTTCTCAAATAATGTCACTTGGTCTCTTCTCTGAACCCACCCTGTCCATTCCTCGTCATTCTCTTTTTTTGCGGGGCGAGGAATTCGTTAGTTGATCTGCCATCCTGCTCCCCTCAAAGTCCACACCATCAACACTCACTAAAATCAGCAAGCCTTGCTCCTTCGGACCGTTCAGGTACGTTAAGATCCCATTCTAGTTTCTGCCTTCCAAACTACAACATAGACATAGAGTAATGAGTTTTTTATAGGTCTCCAATTGGATCAAAGTGAGAAAGAGGTCGACGATCGTTCACAAGATCCTGAAAGCTCACGCAGAGACTCGCAGCATGATGAGAGCCATTCTTCCGGAGGTTCAGGTAGGTTCAAGTCCCATTCCAGCGCCTGCACTCACTCATCCTAATTATTGCAACTACCCTCGACTTGTTTTAATTGATCTGTGTAGATCGGCAGTCGGAGCAGAGTCCAGATGAAGACCCAGGCCGATCACCGTCTCCGGAAATCCAGCATTCATCTCAACCAAATGAAGGCAGCGCCTCAGAGTCTCCAGGTAATATCATATTCTCTTTCGATCCTATGATTGTTTACTGAACCTTCAAACGGTTGATACAGTTCGGGACTCCTCTGAGGTTCTGCAAGAAAGCCAAGGTAATTATTCCTAACTCCAGTAACTACCAAACCGTGAATATTAATCTTTGTTTCGGTTTAGATGTCGATCACTCGGTTAGTCTTGATGACCTCACTCTGTTCAAAGCGCAGGGCAATTTAAAACATTTTACCTCGACCCCCCGTGGAGTCTTACACCATCCTGTACCCTTTCCAGCCGTTACCAACCCGACAACCGGTCGAGCACCTTCGAGCACTCCCAGACCATCGACCTACCCGATTGTCGAAATCGCCTCCTCAGATCCCAAAGTGGCTGCTAGAGCAGCTGCGATCCTCAAAGTCCACCACGGCTTCATTCCCAGGGGCTGTAAAGTCGAGAATACCGGTTTGATGGGTGATGGTGACTTAGAGAGAGAGATGGAGTTGAGCATTCAAAGGGAAGAAGCTGATCGATCGCTCCGTCTTCAAGCCTCATCTACTACTGCTTCCTCCGCTCCTCATAACCTATTGAGAACTGTTCAAACCAAGAAAATGTTTGATCAATGTCGCCCAGAGCCTTCGCAAGATTCGTTTCACCACCTCTTCACTGAAAATGAACGACAACGAACACCTGAATTGAATCATCACTCACGAGCTGGACCGAGGTCGCCCAGCTCAGTCGCGAGTACAACCCGACAAGATAGTTTGAGACGGAAAGCGCATCATAACCACTGTAAGAGTTTGAAGGAAGAGCTGCAACAGCTTGACTATCGGCCCGATTTCCACTCGTGGAGCCAAGCCGATTGGAAGATCCTCGAGTTCTGCTTCAAGAGAATCGAGCGCAAACAGCCCGCTGGACCATCTTCCCAACCTAACATTCAGCCAGAAGAAGTCGTCTTGAAGATGCTCGAGGCTCTAGACCTTGCACCATCCGATTGTCAATCTGAATGGGAGTGGTACGTTATTTATGTCAATCTACGCGTTATTATGGAAGGGATGAATTGACTGTTTATTTGTTTGTTGTGAAAGGACCAAGATGATTTATCGAGTGATTGCGCTACAGAAACGAAGATCGGCTGATCCTTCGAGACGAAGTCGATGCTCTTCCGCGACGACGTCAATATCGCAACGGCGGCCGGCCGAGCGGCCGAGCAGTAGTCATATTAGTAGTCTCCACCAGACGCGTACCTCGGGATTTGCGTCACAGGCACTCGGTGGTGGTCCCGCCAGGTCAAGTTCTGTTAGTGAAGAAGACGACGAGGAGGAGGTCCGACGGGAAGACGGACGGGAAGTATACCCATCGCTGGAGCCAGTCCGTCGGGCGTTTTCTCGGAGTCGGACTACAACACCTCTTCCTCGTCGGGCCCACGACAGACACGAGGAGGAAGTCCAGCACCAGGGCTCTCAAAGCAGTCCAGCCACGGCCCCCTCTGGACAACAAACAAGGATCCCTAAAGCGCCACCGATCTCCGACCGCTTTCGTCGCCAATCCCTCCGAAACACTCTAGCTTATTGGAAAGCTAGAGGCCCTCGACGAGTAGGTAAAGGGAAGATCTGGACGATCGTCGCCGCTTTCGAGGCTCGTTTCGACAAACTTCTTGCCTCCCTCTCCCCGCCCCCTAACATCCTCCATTACCTACGTCAAACCGATACCGAAGTATCTTCCCGACCTAATAAACGTGCACTCAATCACTCGGATAACGTGATCAACCCCTCTTCCTCCTCTACTACTACTACTTCAACTACTACCCTCTTTCATCCCTCGTTTGCTAATGACTTTTATTCTGAACACCCTGCTCCTCCTCCTCATAAGTCACATTCTTGGAAAAAACAACGCAAAACTTGATTATCTTTTCGATCTCCCCTTTCATTCTTGTCCATCATTCAATTTTTTTTTGTTATGTCTCTTACTTCTCCATCTGTTGTTTATCTTTAGATGTGCTTTTCCTAATCCTCATCATTGAAAAAACAAAAATCTTGAAACTTGAGGATCTCCTTTTTTTGTCTCCTCATCAATTTGTTGTTCATCTTTAGAATAAGCCGATCTTCGAAAATTCCCCTTTTTTTTCTTTATATCATTCCTTTGGTTATTGATTTATCTATACATGTTTGTCCTGTAAACTTCTGCCCCTGTTTTTGTTTCCTTTTGTTGTTGTTGTTGTCGTTTGTAATTCGGATGATCTTGAAAACAAAAATCATCTTCATGATCCATTTGGTATTGGTTATAGCTTTTACATCCTCTCATCTGTCTTTCTTGTACTTGGCCTTTTTCTTTGGGAATCGGAATTTATAGACACACTCTTCTCCTGTTTTCTTTTCATGTCTGCTTACTTTCACTATCTCGCACAGGCATTCCTTCCAAGACTAACACTCAACTGCTGGATCCCTCTTGTTTTTGGAAAAGGGGCGCTCTCCCAAAGGCACTTTTCCACTGAGCCCCCCGGTCGCACAGGGTTGCAGCTGCAAAACAGCCGACGAGCGTCAAGTTAGATAGTGATCCTGCCTTAGCTGGATGAATTTCAATATCTGGTAGCTGTTGAAGTCTTCTTGATTAAAAATGTTTTTTCGATAAGATTTATTGGTGGCAAGAGAGGCATTGAAGAAAAAAAAAGAAACGAGAAAGAATTGAACGAATGAATTGGATACATTCAACAAGCATGATTCCCATAAGAACGTACAATCAACTACCATTACAGGAACGAGTGGACGATTCAACACAAGATAACAGGATTCAGATCATGGAAAAAAAGTAATTAACCTGAGATTAAGTTGGCGCGACTTGGCAGCGGTAATTGTAGAAAATGCAGAAGGACAAGAGGGACGAGTGATAATGGTGGATCTCTTTTTTGATGGAAAATTTATCGTGGATTAACAGACACTCCCAGTGGGATTTTGTGTTCTCCTCTCATGAACAAACCCATCTGTCATGGGCGAAAGTTCCTCGGTCCTGTCGACATTTTCGTGGTGCTCAATGTGAGCCCCATTGTGGGAAAATCCTTTGGTGTTTAGTTGTCGTGCTGATGCAATCGTGCTCATTCCTACAAATTGTGGTAAATGAGCTTTTGGTCTCTCTTGATCACCACCAAAAACAAACAAACAAACAACAAACTAACCACCACTGATCGACGGCGCCCCATTCCGTGGCCTCAGCGCAGGACTCTGCGGCCTGCTACTTTCATATGGTAGTGGGTTTGCGGGGGCGCAGACATCGGTCATGTTGCCGCGATATATCGATGTAGGAAATGGTGCCGAAACTAGGCCGAAGTTGGCAGGCATAGGGTTCTGCGCTCCACCAGCTGGATAGCCGAATTCGTTGTTCTTCTCATAATGCGTGTTGCGTCGACGCATTTTGACCTCGATGCCTTGTAGGTCCGGCGAGTCGTGGACTTGGTCAGAATCTTGCTTTGGGTTGAACGATTCATATTCGACACTCTTCAAGCTAAACAAGAGTAAAGCTGATTGTTAGTCATTTGGCACTTTGTCAAACTAAAAAAAAAATCGAAACCAACAAGAGATATATCATGGCAGCCACGATTGATCCAATCGAAGGTCCAATCCAGTAGACTGAGGACAAAAAGAATTACCGTCGGCTTGAAGCTCCAATTAGTTTCAAGGGAAACACACTTACTCCAGTGGTAAGATTTGAATCCAGTGATCTGAAAACGCGTAATCAAGGAGTGGTAAGCAAGCTGAAGAAGAGGTTGAAGAGCTGGATTAAAATGAGACTCACCACATCGGGTCCAAATGCACGAGCGGAGTTCATCTGTATCCCACATAGAGTTAGTTTTTGCTTCAACAAGGCCTAATGGGATCTTTATACTGACAGCTGCACCAGTGAATACGACGCCGAACATATGAGTGGCAAAGAGTACCAGGCCGATTGCCACAGGGGCGAATGGAGTGGCGCGGTGTTTTTCGACGGCGACTGTGAGCGGCTTTTGAGTCAGTTTGTGTTGGCAAGCTTGTGGATAGACTGATCGATTGAACTCACGAAATAAGACGGTGATGGTCAGGATGCCCGTGAGAAGCGCTTCAATGACCAAGCCTTGCCACACCTTGGTTTCAACTCCTAAGCCGCAACCGACGGCCAAGGAGCCTGGCAGGATGGCATTTAAAATTGCAGATGCGGTGATGCCAGCCAAGACCTAAATAAAGGAGAAAGTCAGCTTATGGAATCAACACTTCAATTGTCGATCAAGTTACCTCAGCAACCACGTAAAGGAAGAAGCGGCTGCAAAGAAATAAGATGGTAAGCTTCAAAGGTTCAACTATTGAGAGCGAGAGAGCATTGGCCAAAAGTGATATCATTTACTCACATTGGTTTGAGGGCTCCAGTCATAGCCAACGCAATCGCAACATTCGGGTTGAAAACACTTCCACTGATCCGGAAAAACGTCCAGGCTGAAGCTAGCAAAGCTAGTGACATGCTAGAAAGCGCTCAAAATTTTACGATTCAACCCTGGTAAACTTTCTCAAGCCTTATAAGGCATATAGAAGGAATAGATTTCTATTTGAGTTTTAGCGTACCTCGTGGATATATATAGCAGTTGGCTAACACTTGCAACCTCGTTTGCAATCGAGTTTCTGCTGGCCTCTTTGGCAGCTTCATTTGATATTGCGGCCGCCTGGATTCCTCCTAAACCCATCAGAAGGAAAACTGTTGTGCCTATAATTCGTCAAGGGAAAGGGAAAAAGTTAGAATCGAAGTGGACATTCTTGAACCAAAAAATTACATGGGATCAAAAATACCTAAGAATTCCGCCACAGACGCAAGTAGGTCACCTGAGTGTTTCACGAAACATTAATTAGTAGGTGAACAATCAGCAAGGATGGTTTGAATATCATCTCGACCTACGTTTTATTTCCACTAGAAAACTTTCCACCGATCTCGAGTTTTCGGCCATCGTAAAGGTAGTGGTATCTGGGGTAGGCTGGGGGGACTATTATGGAGAATTTAGGATGATGACTATCGAGTAGGTCGTGGTCGTCAAGTAGATATTGGGGGTTTGGGGGAATGGGCGAAAAAACGAATGGTTCAGCTGATCAGCTAGGGAAGATTACTATGCCGAGATGGCGGTGTGAACAGATTGGTTTATATGTTTTAAAAGATATATCTCTTTTTTTTATATTCTTGGACAGGCTTGGATGGAATTCTGGAATCGGACAGTCATCTATAAATCACAGATGGTCGATAATATTTCATCATACAATACATGAACGCATCATGATTTTCTGGAAGTTTGGTTGCGAAGGTCCTCCAGGGCCTGAGTTGCACCCTTCCGCTGGGTATCATACTGGTATCACTACCGGTTCATGATATTAGGTGGACGGCTCCCGAGGCGGGAACCAAAAGGTCAGAGCAAGTGAGAAGGGCTCTTGTTTGGTGGCTCGCCCCTGAAGACGTTAAGGCAACAAACGATGAAGGGTTCTCGGTGGCATTCTAGACCTGACTTACACGGATTGTGGTCTCGATATTCGCTAGACCCTTGCACTGGAACTCGCCAGATTGAGGGATTAAGTTGGGATAGTCTCGCGTCGTACTTGAGCTACTCGCTGCAGTGGCGCCAGGGGATGATTGATGGAAGCAAGACTTATGAAACCACGACTTGTTTCCTTGATAACTTATAAGGAGATTGTGGAGGATTTCCATCTTTATGGCGAGTCGTTGATGGGAAAAAGTTCTCTATCTTAATAATCGTGGCGCCTGGCAACGAAGAGGGAGCCTCTGACCGTCTGACGGCTGGATCACATACATTCGAAATGAAGATTCCGATTTACTCATCATGGGCTTGACTTTGGGCAACCGGCCTTACCTGGCGTCTCGGGACCTAAATAAGTTAGCGTACACATTCGGTCCGTCCATAATTCCAGTTTGCTTCGAATTTAATTTACCTCGTCCAACCTCTCTTTTTCAATCATTTACCTTAAGACCGAGTGATAAATCATGTTACCGAAGATCTAAGGTTACTCTGTTATAACTGAAAGAGCAGATTAGATCTGTTTCCCAGACAAATAGTCATCGGCACTCCATATCAAAACTGCAGAAATATGTGTGCCGACATGGTAGCCAAGCCGCCTGTGTGCGCTGGTTGCTCTGCATAATTGTGTTTTTAGGAGCATTCAAATACGTTTCCAAGTTAAAGCGTGGACGGTTCGGCCTCGGTGCTGGCAGTCACCGACGGCTATGTGGCTTGCCGCTTGCTGCCGAGCATAGCTCTGATGTCACCGCTGACCACGGAGCTGTAGAGCGATAAATACATATTCCTTTTAAATTACCCTATCTTGGCGAAGCCTTTTTTGCACCTAGCCATTCTCATGGAAGACCTAGGCCATCAACACTAAGATTCTCACATATGAGCCTTAGCAGGACAACTTTGAAATTTCAGAACTGATGATCATTATCCTATTGACTTCAATTCAACATTATTTGGACACAAAAGTGATTGACTCAATTAAGGAAAATGAAAATAAAAATACCAAGTGGGGTAATGTTATCATGATCTCCTGTACTCAAAATTATCTACATGTACTGACTTTGAGAGAGTGAAACATCTCTCAAACGCCACTCCTACGCTTCAAACAATTTTCTGGCATGGGATAAAATCAAAAGCTTAATAGGGCTCAAATAGGTAATTCTCAGGGATGCAACACAATATTTTTATCATCTTTGTTGATGACCTACTCATCCATCAGGGTTTCTTTTTCTTTTGAGAAATGAGGGAAAGGATTACTTCCAACACCAGGAAAAAAAACAATGAACATTTGATGAAAAGAGACATCAAGCTAACTCCAGTGTACTATCCATTACATATCCAGCTTAACTCTTGTACCACAGAAAGGGGTCATTGTATCTGGGTCACAACAGAGCTGGAGCCACATGGGAGAAGCAACCAATGTTACATGATGTCACCTGAAATCTAGTGAGCATAGATTTTTTTTCTGGTGTAAGCTTGCCTTCAAATTTGGAGCAGCAGTCCCAAAATTCCCACAGGCTCCAATTCACATACATATCATAGATAAATCTGAATGTGTGCTAGAGCCCATTGATTCTTTGAATCATCTGTGTTCTGTTTTGTTCTTTCCTTGGTGGATTCCATTTTCCTGGACATTCTCAGTCAAGCCACCGCAAGCTAGTTGCATACCTTCAAGTTGTCATTTTTTGCTGTCTCATATAATTTGAAATTAGGGCACCCTGGAATATTCCCAAATTCATTAGCTAATTACATCTCTTCTGGATCTTTCTGCCACTTCAATCCAGATCTTCAGAGATTTTCAAATTTTTAAATTCGTACTGCTCTCTTGGAAAAGCATAAAACCATTTTTGGGTAGATATTCATGTTCTTTGAGAACACTTTGAGCAACAGTTTATGTACTTGATTTTTTTCAATCTCACTGTTCCTACTTAGAACCCATCTCATATGTAAAGGCATATTTAAGAGCTGTGCCATGTTTTTTGCCTGGTGATCATCAAGATGAATTACTCTTTTGATAGGCTGTGAAGTCATGCGAAGTTCTCTATAGATGATCACATTTCCAATTGGCCGTTTTTGGTTTGTTTCAAAATGTCAAGTGTTTTTTGATTTGGGTCCCAATTTTGAAGAGCAATTTTTTTTCTCACATGGTGAAAGTAGGACTGCTAGTAAACTAGTGATTGGGACAGGATTCAAGTTTTGCCTTGATGAAAGATATAAGGTGTCAAAAAAAAAAAAAAACTCGTTGGCAGAAAAATTCGAAATGGGTGCAAGCAAATGTATCCATGCAAAAAAGAAAGCACCAGATTGTCTTATGCAAGTGGGAAAATCATCTTGTTTGTGATATAGCAATGGAAGAAACAGGAAAGGCTTTCGAAAGTTTAGCGTGAGTGATAAGTGAATTGTCGATCATAGTACCTTGCTCAATTGTCCTCCCTTCTGCATTGCGACTTCACACTCGGGGAGGTGTTGGAGCGGGCAGGCTGGATTGCTTTGGAGTTGCGGGACTCCGGACTTATCGCTACACTTGATTACGCCTGGTTTGCCAGTTCCTTGACCAGAGCAAGTCAACTGGCCGGAAGTACATTTGACCACCTGATCTGCCGCGATCGGCTTGTTCTTATTCGGACACTTGGCATAAATCACAATCGTAGCATCCAAGTTGGCCGAATATTCTGCGACCATCGAATGGAAAACCACGAGTATCGTTACCGGGTGGAAGTGGTGAAGTCGCATGATGGCAGTATCTTCAGCAATTCAGACTGAGCGGGATAGGATGGTCGGTTCCTTATATGCTCCGAAGATATTTTCGTTCCTATCTGTAAGCTGATCAGAACTTCAGTTGCGCATCCAACACAACCATTCAGTAAGGAATAGTTCACACATACCTAGGCTTGAGATCGACGTTCTATCAGTCCAAACTGCGCAATAAAAACCTAGGCCTGCGATGGGACTTAATGTTTCCCAGTGTGAATTAAGACAAGCCCTCGAAGAACTTGAGCCAGAAGAGCAGATAACAAAATCTAATCGTCCAATAGCACTGAGAGGATTACGAGCTGGAAGGAGCTGCTCTTTTTCAATCCAGAAACCGAGGGAGCACAAATTGCTCAGTGTTTGTTCAACCTGATGGCCTGCTGGCTCCCGGATTCGGCCTGACGCTTGTTCCAGCGATCGACGAATCTAATAGAGGTTGTTGTCAGCTTGGAGGTCACCTTGGAGTCGGGTGACATTGGTCAGACTCCGAGAGGAAGGGGGCACCCTGATGGCCACTGAAACAAGTCAGCTTGGACTACTTTTCCCCTGCAAAGTTGACCCTCAAGCAGCAGGTTGCGATCATGGAGTGCAGTTTCCACCAGGGATAATCCCCCGCTGGGTGAGTTTCATCTCTCAACCCGAGAGACTGAGCGTGTGTTAGAAAATGTTGATACATATAGGGTGCCAACCAGTGAGTAAGCTTTCGCTGCTCTGACACTTGGTTTAGAAAGTCTCTCCGACTTTGGGGGGAAGAATAGTTGCTTCTTGCCTCACCGGTCGCGGTCCCCATAGGAGGTTTGGAGTAGCAAGCCCCCCAATCAGGCGTAACCTGATCAGTGAACAGACCAAAGTGAGAATCATCGACAAGCGGGCTTGGTTGGCCTCACATTGATATGTGCCCTGAATGAAGTGGCCTGCGAGCGATCTGGTCTTGAATAGATTTATGTATCAACAGCAGGACGGTCCGAATGGAATATTGAGACTTGCCAGCCAAACCGGGCTGCTTGCAAACGACAAAAAGGAACAATTAAGCTCATCAGCCATCTCATGATCAGTTCAGAACAGAATCAGACATCCTCTGCAGTGCAGGCAAAAAAGTATCAGAGGAGTCTCCCCGGGCCATGGCCGCCTGGCTTCATGCCTCTGCACTTGAGAGAATGGGTATAAATAGCACTCTCTTTGGGCCCGTATCCATTCCACTTCTCATCCTCATCACTCAGCCTTCTCTACCTTCTCACCAAGAACAACCTCAGAGCAGTGCTCTCCATCGTTCTCAACCTCCGCCCCCCATAAAAACTTACTCTCACTGCTACACTCAAGAAATCACTCTACACTACATCTATTTCCTTCGGACTAATATACACACTGCAAACCACACCCTTGCCACAAAAAGCTAATTATCCTACAGCCCAACCCAACCAATCTTTACTATCGCATCATGAAGGTCTCTCAATCTTTTGTCGTCGTGTCTCTTTCTGTCGCTGCGCAAACTCAAGTGAGCATGGCCAGCCCACTCCCCGTTACCGACGCAGGTGATTTGAGGTGAGTTGTATCTCTCTGGGGCTTCATTTTTCCAGGTCCTGACAAACGCTCTGAGATTTTGTTCTGGGCAGTTTCGATTCGCCTCAACTCAGCGAAGCCGTGCTCACCGAAGAACTTCCAACGCGTCTGATTCCTAAAGGCTTTGGCCGCCGGAACCACCCTTCCTTAATGGCTCTCAATCCTCGGGCACGTGCTGTCTCCTTGAGCTTCGATTCTAATGGACGCGTCAATCCACGCGCCCACGCCCAAACGGACCGCTCAAAGCTCCAAAATTCGATTCATATCGGCGACACGAATATCCTCAACGCCAGCCTGGGCGCCCACCGGCCTATCCGTCCTCTCGCGTCCTCCGACGAGCACGGGTTGAGGTCCAGTAATCTCCTGGATTTATCGCTGAAGATGAAGAAGCGGTCTCCTGGTACGATTGAGTTTGATCTTTCCTACCACTGCCAGCAGGATTCTAACAAATGATTGATATCTGTCAGATGAGCCGAAGCTACCCGCAGTTGTTCAAGCTGTATCCGGGGATGTCTCCAAGCCCGTCTCCGAAACCTTGTCAACCCTGCCCATCATGGTAGAAGACTTATCAGCCGCCAAGAAAGTGCTACCGGCGACGCCCGGTGTGGCCAACCAGCTGGCCGGAATCCTAGGAGCACGCGGTGTCCCGGCGGCACCCGTCTCGCCTCTATCGGCCCTCCCGCTATCCAGCCTTCCACTCATTAGCGATCTGTCCAGAAGCTTACCCGCAAATCCTGCTTCATCTCTTCCCGCCGCTGCGCCGGCCCCCGCAACCGGCCTGCCTATCTTGGGATCCATTCTCGGCGCTCGTTCTCAACTTCCCGATCCGTCGCTGGCCGCGCTTGAAGGATTGAGTCCAGATGAATCCCTCCCAATTAACCCATTCAATCCAGAGTGAGTAATACTCCTTTTTGATATCAACATCTGACAAAAACTTAGTCAATTGTTTTTTTTTTCAACCGATTCAGTCTTCTCAGCGCTTCTGACATCATGGCCGCCGGCGGAGCATTCCCGATCCAACCTTCCCACTCCCTGGATGGCCAGACGCTCCCGAACGAGCCGAGCATTCCCAACTTTTCACAGCTGTTTGCCGATGCTCAGGCGATCCAAGCCAGTGGCAGCGGGGTAGCCGACGACCCAAGCCTCCGCAACGTCAGAGCGACCAAGAAGCACAAAGGCTCCAAAAGCCATCATGACGACAAGGACGAGGACGACAGTCCGAAAGCCCATCGTGACGACAACGAGGAAGATGATAGTCCGAAAGCCCATCATCACGATATGGATGACAAGGAGGACGGCCCGAAAAGTCACCATGTTGATGACAAGCAAGAGGATGATGAAGCAGCACTGATGAAGAAACTGATCGAGAAGCTTGACCTCAAGGCTCCTGTCCCTGCAGTAGCACCTTCAGTCGCGGGCATTGAAACCCAAGTCGTCCCAGTCATACCTGCCACTGATGTCCAGAATACCGTCGCGGGCATCCCCATCGCAGTCTCCACTCTTCCCAAAAAGCTTCCCTCCGTCCTGCCAACAGCCAAAGCTTCATCAACCGACTCCAAGGATGATGATGATTCCGATTATTCTCCCGGCCCGAAACTCCATCGAACACGTACCGTCTTCAACTTTCCTCATCGCAAGTAGGCCACTCCCTCCGCCCTAATCTGGATCATTACGAACCCTGTCATGCCCCGCCCCCCCCCCCCAAAAAAAAACCCTAATAATTTATACCCACCGAACTTTTCTAAATCTTCTCTTACTATCCAATGTCTTTCTGTCTCTCATGTTGTTCCCATCTGTTTGATTTATCTGGGAAATCTCTCTTGCTCTCTCTCATATTTCTCCACTAATTCACACAATCTTCAAACTTTGCCAAAGACTTTGTTTACCGAGAAAAATATAATTGAGTTGTGACAAAGTGATGGTATATAATCATCATCATCACCAGTTTTTCATGAGAGATTTAAGGTTCAGTTAAGCGAATCACTTCACAATTGAATAAGACTGATTGGCTTTGAACCGCTCAATTAATAGCACTATTCTTATATAATAATTTTATATGATTTCAAACGAAGAGATTGTCTTTAAGTAAGAATAGCCGCTGGGCGGAACGCGCCACCCTCGAATACTCAGTTTCAACTAATCAGCCTGATACATTGCGGGCCCTTACCAAACAAAGAGATGGTAACGACGAAGAAATGTCAACAAGAAGAACTGTGCAGTGTTTTCAAGGGAAGAGATGGCTTACCTGCGACAATGTGTTGGTTGAGAGCAGTGATATTAGACGGGGTGACATGCAGATCGGTCTATCACACAGCGCCGGGGTGCGCAGAAAAGTAAGCAGAGTCAGCGAAAAGGGCGAAGGGCGCAGACGTGCTCAAGAGAGAATCAGAGAGAGAGAGGGGCACGCACATCGGTCAGCAGCACAAACATCGTCCCGTTGATCACCGGGTAATCGACTTGGCCGGGGAACAGTACACCGTAAGGCTGCACGGTCGTCGCCGAGTCCTCGTCTACCTGCTCCAGCTTGGAATAAGTCACATTGTAGTCTTGTGGCGGATTCATCCTCATGTCAGCAACCTATCACATCAAGGGCAATTAGGTACATGAGATTTCTTCCTATATCAAGGCTCTGGTCACTCACGAGAGGTCCAAGCAGCGAACTGTAAAAAAAAGGAAATCACAGGAGGCGGGAGGAGAAAGAATGTGATGGTAAGATCAAGGGTAGTATAGGGATCGTCAGGAAACAGGAAACAAGGGGGGGAAAAAAAGGAAGGCGGACCTTAGGGCGAGCGGATTTAGAGTGAGTGAGTGTCTTATAATCGCCGTTGGGCCCGACGACCTTCCCGGGCTTATCGAACTTGAACCTCACCTGGCGGCCAGGCAGCGAGAGGGAGGAGCGATTATGGGTGATCGCCGGCGAGCGGGGGTCGATCTGGAACGGGTCTGGGTTGTTGAGGATCTCGAGCCGGGGGAAGATGTCGAACTCGATGTATGGGTTCGTGCGTGGACAGCTGACGAGGTAAGGGTGGAGCAGCGTCCTATAACCTCGTCCCGGTCCATCAGATTCAGTCTTAGCCACCTTCTTCTTCTTTTCCTTTGCATTCAGACAGCCCTGCTTACCATGCCCAGCTTTGGGGGATCCCCGGGACGTGGTAAACCGGCATGGGGAACAGGCCTTCAAATTGTCGGAAGATCTGGCCGCCATCATCATCATACACCGAGATGAGCTTCTTCAGCTTGGCAATCCTTTTCTCCTACTCGATGAATTCCTTGCAGAGAACTGTATCTACCATCTGTTGTCTCGCCTCGGTGACGATCGATTGCAGCAAAATTTGGGCCGAGTTTGGATTTTCCAAGAATGACAGGAACCCATAGACGCCCGATTCACCCCACCTTGTCAGCCTTAATTTTTATTTCATCCGTTTACGTTTATTTGCACAACAACAGTGCCGAGAGAGCAGGCCCGACGAGGATAGGACGAGTGGGTTCAGCTTATATATATTCGAAGAAGATTTTGAATTCCAAAGACCACCCACTTTTGGCAGAAATCAAGGAACTCCTTGACTGTTTTGAAAGGGTACCTGTACTGGCACTGTTTAGCAGCCCGAGCTACGAGAATGTAAATCGTCCCGGGAAAGATTATAGACATATCCGGTCATGAGGTTACAATAATAGTCCCAGTGGTATCTGGAGGGAGAGAGAACGATGGACTTACGGCCGAGCATGTTCGACAGCCTTAACAAGCAGAAAACCAGATACAACGATGAGTAACACTTGAAGCTGCATCTGTTTGAATGTGTTGTACTTACACCGTCGCATGCGAGACCTCCTGGTCAGCCATGAACTGGATCAAGTATCGGTCCTCGGCGTTCAGGCCGGCTTCCTCGAACTCCTTCGCCGAGAACTGGGCCAGGCCGTGATGGAACCTGCTCCTCATAACGGTCAACTCGAATCATGACACACACACACATGTGCTGCAACATCTCTAAGCCCAGGTCGGCGGGAAGACGCTCGGACTGGACTCACAGATCGAGCTCGATCCATTCCTGGTTCAAGGCTAGATTGACTGATTGAAAGTCAAACCTGGATTTGATTTGATAGCTTGGTGATTTGGATTGCAGATAGGACGAAGGCTTTGGTCGTCATGCGATCCAATTCCCAACCCACATTTGGTTGAGCAAAGGTAATTAGTAACAGGGGAGTCGGTCAGTACAAGTTTTTATATTCCTGACAGGGAAGGAGTTCTGATGTGACTAGGAGTAAGGACTGACTTGGGTGATGTTAAAGAGATGCTTGGACTGTGGCGAAGGGGTGTAAGGGGGTGGTCGCTGCCATGAGGAGTGGCAGAGCAAGCCAAGGAGGACGAGCCCCGAGTGGAGCCAGGTGAGCAGCATTTAGGGAGAGTCTGCTTGCTTTGGTGTCCTTGCTGGTTTCTTCAGTCCTTCTGAACCCTAGTGGATTGTGAGTGGCAGAGTTAACTAGAGTTTCTATATTTTGTTGGGAATGGGTGGGTCTGGCGAAATCAGTTATGTAACTAGTTATAGGAACCCATCCATCCATGACCATATATTTATAGATGGCTGTTTGCTGGTCAGTGGTCTGGGAATTGAGAATGCTGTCTATCCAGCTATTCAGTGATAAATGTGAATCATCCTGGTCCATCGGTTTTTGATTTTTAAGGTTTCTGATCTTGAATGGTGCTGGATAAATAAATCATTGTTTTTTTTTTCTTCTTGATATCCATTGAGCTGATTTCCTTTGCAGCTTCAAGCCGATACAGATCCACACATGGATGGACAAGAGGCAAGTTATATTTTATTTTCAGCCATCAATTATCGACCAAAAGAGTGAGCCAATCGAGTCGAGTGAATGACGTCATAAATGGCTTGGCCATCAATCAAGAACAACAGCTTAACGCACTTCATCTCGGCTAGAGCCTAGACCTCAGTAGCGTGGTTCATGAAATTTAAAATCTGACCTCTGCTAAATCCAACCCAATTCTTGAAACGCGACAATAACATGGCCCCGTGCTCGCGGGGTTGCTTTGTCAGCCCCCCCTAGGGACAACTAGGTTACGGTACAAGTGAGAAACCACTAGATCACAACACCTACCACAAACGGGTCACGACCCTACTCTCAGCAATCTGGGCCACTTCAGCTCTCAAATCGCCAATATTGGCTTCCGAGTTTCGTCACAAGATAATTAAGACATTAAAATGAAACCCCAAAAAAGTGCTTGACGTGATTATCAAGAATATGTACAAGTCTGCAAGGCAAGAGATGCGGGTGTTACAAATCAATGAATTAAACTTCTTCTTTTTTTTCAGCCAAAAACCAAAATTAGATTTAAAAGGAAACAAGTCAAGAGTATGTGTATAACTACTAATCAATTAATTCGAAACCATAATTATTTAAATAAATCTATTCACTGAAACTTTTCGGGATGGAGCAGGATTTGTTCTAGTTTGAGTAGCCGATCATCAGGCGAGTCATTTTGGATGATAGCTTTAAGATGCCGCAAGATGTTTTCGATCATTGGGCCGAAATGGGGAAGCTCAGGATGCTGGTAGAGAGTCGTCGGAATCGGCTGATGATCCTTATCGACCTTAGGGAATAAACCTTCATGAGCGATTTCGTGGTCCGGTTTGAAGAGATGGGCAAGTCTGTAAGCACGGTGATCGATTCCGATAAAACCATCCTCTCCTGGCCCAGGAAGCTCGACCTCGGACTTGTGAACGGCTCCCCTTCGGAGCTTGGAGAAGATCGAAGGCTGGTTGCTCTTGTTCATATCCATCAGGAAAATCATCTTCTTGGCCACTCTTTCGCGCAGAGGATCGTGTAAGCTGTAGACCGAATTGAGCTCCTTCAAGCTTTGGCCATACGCAAAATAAACCGACTTGAGCACATCGGAGAATAGCATCATTGTTTCATCAAACTCCTGGATTTTCGGACAAGCTTGGATGAGATCCTGAAGAATCTTCTGTTTGTTCGGGGATCCATTGAGATGATACTTGATCATAAAATGCAACATGCTGTGGAGAAGCTTCAAGTGGGAGATGTCCCTGATATGAAAAGGCCCGGTCGGACTGGAGAACTCGTTGATGTTGTTGGCCAAGCTCAGCATAAATTGGCCGATCTCTCGCTCCAGCTCCTCCTTGTTGACGGTTTCTGAGATGGCTGGACTGGTGAGCTCAATAAACTTCGTGTAACCCTTCAACCCAGGGAAAAAAAAGTTGGCGTTATCAGCCTGAGTGCCCAGATGTAAACGCTCCAACCTTTGCCAGCCCGAATGATTCAAGTCTGAAATCAAACACAGAGGAAAAATGGTTCGAGTCAGCTTTTAATAAATTTTCGTTCATCATTTTCCACTTGGGGGGGCTGATGTGAATAAGAACTTATCAAGAAAGAGGGACTGACATTTTACAAGTCCTCGGATTTCTTCAGTGAACGGGCTTTCTTCCAGGGTAAGCTTCAGATCAACATTCAAATAAACAGTAGGCACGGCGACGGGAAACTTGTAGACTGGGAACCGTCGTGCGAGGTAGTTGAAGATGATCTGATCACCATTCTTCTGGTTCAATAATTCTTGGAGCCACTCGGGACTGACAAGCTTGTGTCGTTGGAAGATGACGAGGAACTTGACAAGGACGTCGTTCAGATGGTAAAGTGGTATTTTGTTGGGAGGAGTATACCCAGTGTCTTCTAATCGAGGCTCGAAGCTTTCAGGGTTCCGTAAGCTTTCGAGTGCCTTTTCGATCCCCTCGTAGAAATCCGAGGCCGCTTTGTCACCTCGTTCAACACGACGAGCCTTCCCCTCTGAACTTTCGGCGTATGCCTTGTAGAAGAAAGCGCGGCCAGCCTGCCCACCTCTATGAGTTCCCAAGGCGAGACTCCTTCATCTTCCTTGGATAATCATCCGGCCGGCTCACGTGGACCGAAAGCTCGTGCTCTACTTTCGCGACGATGTCCCGGAGACGAGCGATTTGATCAGAGAGCTCCTTCGTAGCTTGATCAGTAAACCCATCCGGTAAATACTCCAAGGCCTGTTTCAATGGCCTCCGCACCTCGTCTTCCAGCCTCTCACGTAATGCTGTTGGGGCGCGATCAAATTACAACACGATGTTAGCTATGCAGATTGGATCGAGCACTGGGTTAAGTGATGGTAGACAAGCGGATTTACATGCGTGGTCGACTTGCAGAGGTTCCAGAGAGGAAGGTCAAGCATTCTAGTAGGTCAGTGCTTCGCCATAGGTTTATGAATTCCAGATGTGGAAATAATATAATTGATTGACTGGCCACGTTCTCGGACTCACTTGCTGCTGGCATCCTCACATTGTGCTGATTGAGTGCTTCACTTAATGAGCTCGTGTGTTGGCCACATATCTCTAATGTTCACTTCGACTGATTCAGTGGCCATCTTTAATTAATTATCGATGGCAAGACTATTGTGCAAGCTCACTGTGTCGCAGTTCATCGAGTGAAGCCCACTTCAGGGGGGTTCCGTATATCTCCGCTGTGTCAGTGGAATCCCAAGAATTTGATCAGATGAATCTCAACAAGAAGAAGCCGTGGTCCTGGGCTGCTCACACTCGACTCCATTGGTGATCGTTCCCCGTAGAGACGTTGGGAATCCGGCGAGGTCTTTTGATGTCAAGAGACATAGAGCTTGGCCGATTATTATCGACCCCAGCGGAATGATACAGGAGATTAAAAGCTTGGAGACGGGAAGCATCGAGTCGAACCTAGCACGCATCCTGGTGGCCGACTTGAGGATTCAGCCGAGGGATGAGAAGTATTCTTTGACACTGGTGAGGCCAACGACTGACTCTATATGGAAATACTCCGGTTTGTGGTGCCGAAATGCCGAGTCAACATGAGTGAGTGCTATGTATTGATGTACTCCCCCAGGACCCTGGCCTTCTCAACACTTCACCTCCTTGATAAATCATGTCCTTTGGAGAAGCCTACAATGTAGACTCTCTGAGTAGGACTCTGAAACTGGTATCACACTCGCATTTCTTCTGGCCATTACTGAACCCCCTAAATCATGTATGCATAGTCATACCAAGTCTGGCGGCGGAACATCCGCCGATGGGAGCACTTGAAAAAAGATGGGTCCGGACCCGGTTATAATTTGGTGTCCGAGGATGACCGATGCATTTATTTTGATCTTGAAGGTCATCATAATACGTTTAATGATTCGGACCCATATTGCAACAAGCTTCCAATGATGTCTGCCCAGTGACATCAAGGAAGAAGTTAAAATACTATGTAGAAGCAACAAAAAGGGTGAAGCAATTCAAATGAGAATGTTCCATTCAGGTTTAGGTTGGAAGGAGGAGTTTTCCCCTTTACAAATGTAACGCTAAACAAATATGTAGCAGCAATCCACAGAAACAAGTGCTCAACGATTTGATTTTCAAAGATCAAAAGAAGAAGAAAAGGGAGAAGAAAACATGATCAAAATCAAGTGCCCCTGTACATTGTTTGGAGTCTACCCTAAGGATTATGGACGGTATCTCCAAGCCAAACCCCAAAACAATAGGCATGAGCCAACGAACCCCCCCCCCCCCGATGCCGAAATATAAGAGAAAAGCGCTAAACAAGTTCAGAAGAAGGAGCAAAGGAAGATTGGATTTATAGATTTTCCACACACAAAACCCAAGAAGATTGTACAAAATACACACACAAATTATGATCATCAATAATTGAGAAAGTTCTATGAATTCAATCCGATTCGTTCGAAAAACATGGGTAAGAGTCCACTGTGAAGTGCATAATTTTCAGAGAAAAAAAAAAAAAGGAAAATGACTTTAGTGCAAATAACAAACAGGATTGTTATGGATAAATCTATCAAAGAGGTATCTGACCTAGATAGCATTCCGATGCCAACATAAACGATTAACCTCATCAGGACATCAACGTCGTAGCGTTTAGAGGGCGGGGCAGGAGGAGGTTTGGAGTCGAGAGGAGAGTGCTTTTGAGGGTCGAGAAGGGGGTCCAGTTCGATGGCATTGGGCGTCCGGTTATGTAGAGCAGGATGCAGAGCTTGAGTGGGCTGGCCAACCAATGGGTCGGACGGACTGTCGGGCGAGAACCGGTTCCTGAGTGTATGCGACATATTGGGCAAGTCGACGACGGAGGGGATCAACCTGGCCCGCAAGCCCGTCCGTCGACCGCGCTCACGCAACTCGTCTCGGTAGCGGCTGTAGTCCTTGGTCGGCGCATAGTGCTTCCGAGGGAGCTCGAGAAGCGGGGCAAAGAATCTGAAGAGCGGCGGGAGGAGACGGGAGAGGATTTCCTTCATCAAGAAGCGCCATCCGAAGATGACCATCAAGCCCAGTAAGACCTTGATGAGCGCTTGGGGGAACCGTAATCCGGATAAATACGAATCGTTGATCTGTCGCAGAATGAGATCGTTGGCGATCCGATGGCCAATCATCACGCCCACTGAAACAGCGACGAAGGCAGTACTATCTTCAAAACAGGGACAATCGTCCACCGGTTGCGGGTGGGCAGCTGTGAGCATCAGACCGCAGATGATCAGAACCGCTGGGACTGATGCTTGTGAACTTGTCGCCCATCGTTCGACCGCTTCGCCAAAAACCTGATAGATCGTCCAGGCAAAAACGCCCATCATCCAACCACAGATCACATCCTGGATCGAATGCATCCCGCAGTATACCCTTCCAAAGACTAACAAGAATCCGTAGAGAATCAGGCCAAGAAAAAGGCCCAACTGGTGGCTGATAGACTGAACATGAAGAGTGAATTGTAATCCCATGAGAAAAGTGGAAGCGGAGGTGGCAGAATGACTGGATGGGAATCCGTATTCAGAGGCATGATTACTGATACTTAGTCTTTCGATCGGGGGCGAATAGGGCCGAGGAATGCAGAACAAATCTTTCAAGATCCCAGTGAAATAGACCGACATCCCGAGGATATAAACTTGCGATCGTCCGAAGTGATGGTCGCCGAGCCAGAAGATTAAGGGTAAGGCTACGATGAAGAATTGGTGGGAGCCGAGCCATGAGGAATGGATCATCAGTCGATCGAGAGGCCCGGAGCGGTAGCTACGCTGGATCGATTCTAGAATCGGCATCTCTTTGTCGAGCGTCACCAACAAGATCGACCGAATTTTGAACCGCCAAGGTGACAACTGAGAGCGATAGACATGGTCAGCCTGGAGTCCGATGGGTCCTGATGAAGCCGTTGTATTGTTGACATTGGTGGGATGGTTGCGGGGTTTGGTGGATGATACTGTAGAAGCGCTGGTAATGTTGTCGGTGGATTGGCTGAGTGAGTAGATTGGGGTTTCATTCATATGTTTAATGGTTGATGTGAAATATGATCCTAAATCAACAATCAGTTGCTGTTCCGCTTGCAATTGTAGATTGAAGTGGGGTAAGTTGAAGAGAAGGTAGGGGACTGAACTGACGAGTGAGATTGGATGAAGCCGTCCCGAGAAGAATCAGCCAAATCTTCCTGAAAATGACCAGGAATAATAGAAACGGACCATCGAGAAGCAAGAAAAAAGAATAGAACTAAATTGATCAACAAAACAAAATCGAGCTCATGAATGGATGAATTTTACAAACGTTTACAGCTGGTGAGGCGAGCTCATCTATTTCAGGATCAAATTCCGTACTACCGAGCCTATCAGATTCAGATGTCTTCACGTTGCGGATTGGGTGGCTTGAGGAACGATTGGTTGAGTTGGGCATTTGATATTGGTGAGCACATCCACCGGGTTCAAGTCACAGCTCGCCTTTGAGCGGTTTTCTTGCTAGATTTTTTTGAGGTTAAAACAGGTTTAAGCTTCAATCAAATCAGATAAATACAGAACAGAAAACCCCAGTTAGAATTACGCACGGTTGAGATGATGAGGGTAATAATAAGGCTGCTGAACAAAGTGTGGTCCCGGATGATGAGGGTTTTCTTGGATGCAAATTGGCGTGATTAATTCGTGTACGATCCAGATCTTTAGCACCTGGCGAAGATACGATAAAAATCCTGTGAATTGAAGCATATGTTAGATCATCTGTATATTCAAAAAATTCAAAAATTCAAAGTCAAGATGATCGAGATTTGAGAGCTAACCTGAGACGATGATTGATCGGAGTGTTGATGGTTTCTCATCTGTATGTAATAGGTGTACTGATCCTGATCACCTTCAACCTAGTTGTCCTCGTTGGGGAGAGTGTCTCGAGTGGGTTGGCAACTTGGCAGAGGAGAGAATTCATCAACTCAAAGTACACAGGGCTGGGTGTATGCGGCAGATTATATAATCCAACCATCACCTGTCACCAAGCTGACACACGGCCGCTGAAAGAAAATTGTATGATTCATCTGTGACACTTTAATCAGCTAACTCACCACAAGTCCCTGTAGCACAGGAGAGGGAGGAACTTGCGGATAAAGTCAATTTTTAAGCAGGAGCAGAAAATGTACTTTGGCTGGGAGCTTTCTCAAATTTTGAATAGCTCCCCCGACAGAGTTCTGTGTAACCGTTTTACAAATCTCAAGCATGTTGCCTTCATTTTATTCGATTCAGAATTCTCTTATAATATTCACTCTTCATCGATTTTTAATAATTTTTCAAAGTTTCAGAAAAACATGATATTTAAAAAAAGGATTTACCAGAATCCATACAAGGATTCACAAAGCTACATTCTTTGCAAATCCATGAATCTACAAGCTTTCTGTATGGTATCCTGATCAGACTGCGTCTGAGTGCAGGTCTACAGTTGCGCATGGCATTCTCCTGTACACAGCTATCTGCAAACACAAATTTCCTCACCCGGGGGAAGACAGTGCTTGGTTGGTGGGGGGGGGGGCTAAACATCATCAAGACCACATTTTTGGCATCTAAAGACCATGTAGATTCCAAATATAAAGCAACAAGCCATTTGGCCCAGCCAATTTTTACTTTTTTAATTTTTCACACAGGTTATTTGGACCCATCACCCAAAAAATGCATAAGATTGAGGCAGGACAATATCTCCAGCCCATAAGTATGGTTTAAAAACACATGCAAATGGGATTAAACCATAAGAACACACACTTTGGGGTCCAATCCAATGTCTAATCCCCCCCAAATCAACCCAAAAATTCAAAAAACATACTTCTTTGGCCTTGACCATCCAGACCCCCCTAGAGTTGTGCACAGTGGAATGCCACACAAAACTTTACAAAGATAGCCAGTCTGGTCTACCTCATCCTCTCTTAGACAAATTGCCTCTCCACAAATTTGTATGCTACTCATTTTAGTTGTTACCCTTGCAATACTGCTTATTCATAGTGTGCAATACTAATGGTGACATTGCACTTTTTTTTAAAAAGATAAGGCCAGAAAATCCCTGATCAGGGGATATTAAGCAAGATTACAAGGATCATCAGTCTTGAACAAATTTTGCCTTTGAGCCTTAAATTAAGTCTACTTAAATAGATATTATAATTTTACCTCATCCCCTTTGCCTGAGTTAAAGAAAGTTCACTCAAGAATTGGTCTATTGTGACTTTTTCAAATATTTTCCCCTAGTTCTTGGATATTCCTTCATTGCATACCATTCTTGTCAACTAGCAAGAGTGTAACACCTGTAGTGACACTCTTGACAGTGACAAGTAATATAGAAATATCAATTAAGATATAATAAACATAACTCATAATTATAAGTATGTAGAGTTAAGATGTTGTAATCATATAATAAATACAAGATTAAGAAAATAGAGAGAAACTACATAACAAACAAATAACCAAAATTACATAAGATAGAAAATTGATGAAATAACAACATTACACTATAACAGAAGATTGATGAGATCACCAACAGGTGAACAAACAAGTGGAGGCTTGTTTAAGATAAACAGGAAATACAAACATACTGAGTGAACATTACCTAGAGCAACCAGGCTATCTCGGACCAGAGGAAGACCCTCAATTAAACTTGAGCTATGAGCTCATTGATTATTTGTAAGGGACTACCCTAGAATTGAAGCTAAGAATATTTAAGAATAGGACTCGAGGTATGAATGGGAGCCTTCCTCTCCTTTTTTCCTCAGAGTTACAATTATTACTATCACAAGATATACCTTAAGTCCACCTATCTTGAAGAGCATTCACTAGAAGAATAATACCTTTTAGAAATACCTCTTGAACTAGGAAAGTTATCTCTTATACATAGTTATAAAACACTCAAAATCTCTTCTCAAAACCGTACAAGTATTGGTAACACCGGCTGTTATCTACTGCTTGTTATCTATTCCCTTATTCCCAACTCTACAATCTGTACGAGGTTTGGATTGCCCTGGCCAATAGCTTCAGGAAGCTCGAGTAAGCCTCACAGAGCATTTTCCTGAGCATTGATAGAAAAACTAATCTCAGTTTCATCCTGATTCACTTTAGTCTACGGCTATAGCACTACGAACCCTTATCGTAAGTAGCATAAGCCTGACAATTCTGGTTACACATTTTGGGATGGTTGAGAAATTTTCAATCATTTTTTGGATTTTCAAAATATCAAGTATGATTATGCTAATAATTTTCTTGATTTCTAAAAAGTAGAGCCAAAAATAGTTTCCAGGGGGGTGGGGTATGTTATATGTAGCTAGCACACATGTGACCCCTTCTTCACTCATGTTTTTTTCAAACATAAGGAGGGAAATGTATTGAGGGTTTAAGATGGCCATGGTATGGGCATGTTGCTTGATTAATGTGAACTTGACAGACTTTACAATGTAATAGGTTGAGGGGAAGTTGAAGAGTACAGTCATTGTTGTCTTTGTAGTAGTCAACCACTTGCAAGTCCCTACAAGTCACTGTCTGTTTTGCAGATTTCCATTCCAGTGTTGCCTGATGAGGGGGAGAAGTCCCCTCACTATAGGCTTTTGAAACACACCAATCACATTGGGTTGCACAGTTGTATTTGGGGGCATTTTGCAACAGGAACACAACAAGGGTAAATGTGAGACCCCAGTGGGCAAGGTCAGGAAGAATTTCCAAGGCTAGTTTCAGGTGTAGAGAATGAAGGTGCAGTGATTGAGTGATTGAGTTTGGGGCTTGAACTTGAAACCTACAGGTTAATGGTGGACAAAACACAAGAGGCTCTTGAAGTGAAGTGAGATTACCACTATGCCAATAAGGTGGGGCTGTTCATTGATCCTGTGTGTTTTAAATTTGGTGTGTGAGCTCCACAAGATTTACCAGAAAAAAGGGGAAAGCTATACCAATAATTGAGAAGAAGCAAAGAGCACACCAATTAATTCCATCACCACAGATTAAACAATAACATAGGCTATAAAGTTTTTTTTGAAAGCAGATGTCACTTTGAAACCAAAAAGTGAGTTAAACTTACTCTTGATTCTTGACCTAGTAGTAATGGAAATTACATCAATTTACATGACTGCATGGGGTTGGGTCATTCCCTCTGAAAAGGAATCTTTCAATGTAGATTTTGTCTCTGTTAATAAATTTATTGGGCAGCAATCAATTTGCTTTCTGACTGAATTGTCACAATTCCATGTAGGCTCAAAAATCTCAAATACATACCAAATTTCATTATTGTTTGAAATTTTAAATTTATTTCCTACATTTTTAGAGGTGCAAAGTTTTATGGTATCATTCATTTTACCCAGAGATTAAACATTCAATCATAATATATGAGCTTAGTTACCCCGTTTCTTACATAATTTGTACCATATACCAATTTGGTTTGTATGCAAAATGGATATAACCATCAATTCCTAAACCTTTGAAAATACAGGAAATAAATTTAAAATTTGAAAAAAGAATGAAAACTAAGCCTGCAGAAATTAATCAAAAAAACATTTCAAATCCATTATTCAAGAAAGATTTTTCATTCTGATGTATTACCATAACTTCATAAACGTCTAAAAGTGTAGGGAAAAAAGTCATAATGTCAGAAAAATATGAAGAAATAAGCTATAAGAAAATAATTGAAAAAGAATGTGTTTAATTGCAATTATCAGGGTGATCTGTTTATTTTTACAAAAATTGAATGATGCCACAAAATTCTATGCTTATTAAAAACTAGGAAATAAATTTAAAATTTTGAAAAAAAAACTTGAAAAATAAGGTAAAAAAGTTAATTAAAAAAACATGTCCATATGCTGTGAATCTGTGTGTGCTGTGCGCAGCAAAAACCATGTCAAAACGCGGAAAAACATTTTTTTTTATTAAGACCCAAAATAAAATTGATTGTTTTCAAAAGCTTTGAAATTCATTTTGGGGGAGTGGGAGTGCTGAGAGAAAGAAAGAATGAAACATGGGAAGAATGATTAATAAAAAAAAATGGAACCAAAAAAGGTTTGGCCAGGTTGGTTGTCCAGATTGGAGCCAAAACAGTAAATTCTAGTGCTTTACTGCAATGTGTGCTGGTGAATGCCCCACTCAACAGCTACTTGAAGCCATCTGGAAACCAAATTTTCCAAAATGTTCATTTATAATCATTCTTCTAATATCCCAATCTTCTCTTCTCTCAGCACTCTCACTCCCCCAAAATGAATTTCAATGCTTTTGAGAAAAATGAATTTTATTTTTCTATTTTTCACAAATTTTGAAACTTTGTTTTTTGTTTTTACTTCTCACATTCATTTTATAGAACCTATTGTTCACCACTTGACCAAGTCTCATGACCTCACGTCTGTGTTTTGGGGCTCTTGAATCCAAAATAAAATGCATCTTAAATGATGGGGTAGTCATTAAAATGTGAAACAGCTAGTCTACTCACAGGAAATGAGGTTAATGATTCCGTGCAGAGAAGCACTTTTGACTGATAATTCAGGAGCTAATAATATAGGCTCTGTAAACCCCCTCCCTCCTCTGTCAGGGTTCACAAGGGTTTCACATTCATTTCTCCCTTTTCATAGTTATCCCGAGCTATTGTTCCTTTCCTGGCTCAGCAGAGATCTGATCCCAACCTCTCTCTGAGCCAGGTGAGTCCCAATTTCTATTCTTCATTCTGTTTGCTTTTGTTCTCCTTTCATGTGATGTTGTAACAGAGAGATCTGATCCCAACCTCTCTCTGAGCCAGCCAGAAATACAAATCCCCCCACAGTTTGGTCTTAGAATTCTTTGGCTCATTAGCCCGTCTCCGTGCCCTTTTCCCTTCCTCCAGTGAAGGACTAACAGAGTCCTTACAGGCTCCTTTTGGAAGTCCAAAATAATTTAAATGAATATATGCAAATCCCTATAATCAGGGTAAGGATGACAAACTGTCAATACATTATTACACAGCTAGAAAATTCTTTGATTTATTGCAGTGGCCGTTCCACTTGTAGTGTGACCAGCTGAATTTTGGACATGGTCATAAACTTGGTCCCCCAAAAGAATTTTCAGGATTTTCAGATGATATTTTATGGTATATTGGACTGCCAAACAGAGCCATAGAAAAAAAAAGTGTAGGGAAAAGAATTCAACATTGACAAGTTTCACCTCTTAAAGCCCTGTTTAGTTCCTAAAAGAAGGGGTAAGTGAATTTTACAAACTATTTTTTACAAGACATATGTCTTGTAAACCGGATAGTTTGTAAAATTACATTTTTATGGGGGTAATGTATAATTTTACAAACCATCATCCAAAAATATGGGTTGCAAAAAAAAGGGTTGCAAAATATGTGCCTTAAAATTGCAACCCATGCCCCATGGAGTAGAATTTTAAGGCACATATGTTGCAACCCTTATGTCTTGCAAACAATATGATTTGCAAAAGTACATTTTTGCCTTATTTCAAGGAATTTTGAAACCATTAGTTTGCAACCCATCTATGAGTTGTAAATTATGTTTTGCAAAACTGCACAACATGGTATGTAAAATTGAATTTTACAAACCATATTTTGCAACCCTCCAAAAAAAAAAGAAAAAAAAGAGGGAGACACTATGGAATATGGAGGTACTGAACCGCCACTTTGGCCAAAAAAAATGTAAAAATGATGGGATTGTGTCTATCATTGATGACCAGTTTTGACCGGTCATTTATGTGGGTGGTTACTCCCATCAATGACCAGTCAAAACCAGTCATCAATTGGAGTGTTTACTCCCATCAAAAAATGAAAAAAAAATTCATCAGCCAATTTGGCCATACATTCCTCCCATTGATGTCCATTTATGACACTGTTCGTCAATTGGAGGACACACTCCCATCAAGGACCAGTTATGACTGGTCCTTGATTGGAGTAAACACCCCCAACATCCCCATCAATGACCGGTTTTGACCAGTCCTTGATGGAAGTAAACACCCCCAAGCACCCCCATCAATGACCGGTTTTGACCGGTCATTGATGGGATTAAACACCCCCAGCAATGACTGATTTTTTTTTTCTTTTTTTCTTTTTTTCTTTTTTTTTGTCAAAGTGGCGGTTCAGTACCTCCATATTCCATAGTGTCTCCCTCTTTTTTTTCTTTTTTTTTTTGGAGGGTTGCAAAATATGGTTTGTAAAATTCAATTTTATATACCATGTTGTGCAATTTTGCAAAACATAATTTACAACTCATAGATGGGCTGCAAACTGATGGTTGCAAAATTGCTTGAAAGGGTTGCAAAATATGGTTTGTAAAATTCAATTTTACATACCTTGTTGTGCAGTTTTGCAAAACATAATTTACAACTCATAGATGGGTTGCAAACTAATGGTTGCAAAATTCCTTGAAATAAGGCAAAAATGTACTTTTGCAAATCATATTGTTTGCAAGACATAAGGGTTGCAACATATGTGCCTTAAAATTCTACTCCATGGGGCATGGGTTGCAATTTTAAGGCACATATTTTGCAACCCTTTTTTTTGCAACCCATATAATTTTTGGATGATGGTTTGTAAAATTATACATTACCCCCATAAAAATGTAATTTTACAAACTATCTGGTTTACAAGACATATGTCTTGTAAAAAATAGTTTGTAAAATTACAGCGACCCCTAAAAGAAAAATCTAGCTGTGCATTGTTTTTATGAATTTCAGAAACACTGGGATTATTTGGGATTTCATTAAAAGGTAGCGGTCTGTACTGATGTCTGGGAGAGGTGTTCAATAAAACCAACAAGAATCTCATTAAAAAATTGCTTGAAAACGGAATTCATTTTGTTATTGTCTTTATCAATGATTACATTGGCCAATGATCCTCTTGATGATGCAATCCAGTCTTGTACGATACCCCAAAAGAATGAAGAAGGATGGTTGACTTGATAATAATGCTTTTTCCTACCATCCTGAAAAAGAACTTCCTCATTCCGCAGATAGCGATGATTCTCTTCAACAAGTTTCATAGCGTGTTGTAAAAACTTTTGGCCAGCGTTTGGTCTTTGCGCCTCAAGTGTAGCTTGCCCGTCGAACATCAACTCCGGAATGACTACGTTGATCATGTCTACATGGAAGAGGTAGAGTGGTAGAAAAGTCAGGAGATGGTCGAAGTATTCTAATCGAAGTTTATTCCGTTTCGCAGAGTTGCCGTTAAGCATTTTAGCTTTGATCTGCAATACCAATGGCTCGAAATACTCCATGACTTGATCCGCATACTTTGATCGGAATTCCGGTACTTGAGACGACGCTGGCAGAAGTGCCTTTACCGCTTCGCGCTTTATATCGTGTCGTATAACATGCGACTTGGCGGTAGAAGCTGCTGAGCTGGACTCGTCCATTCCAAGAATACCATTACCGTCAGATCCTCCCATCTTAAATAAAGCAAGGAATCGTTCTAGTTGATACTCCTGTATCTGAATCATATAATTTTTTTCTTGATCCTTGATGAATCTGTCTCCGTTCCTTCGTTTCAAAGTCCGGACTGCGTAGAAGACCATTTTTTTGTCGTTTTCCAATGGTTCGTTACATGCAACCCAATCAAAAGGAGGAGGGAGGCGAGCAAGTTCTTCAAGTTTTTCTTTCCTCGTTTTCTTTTTTTTCCTGGCCGTAGTTTCTGCTTCTTCCCTGGGCATTCGCCAATCAAGAGGCTGTATAGCCTGTGGCTCGTCCAGCGGCAGGACGCCATGGTCACGAAACGATGAAATAGATTCTGGATCAGAGTGGTCGAATTTGCACAAGCCGTTATCGATGACCAAACAGGTCAAAAGGAAAGATATCCACATTGGGAATTTGAAATTAGTATCTGATAAAATTGTTGGTTTGGCTGCGGCTTGACCACTTTAATAGGTAGTTGGGATGTTTTTTTCTTCCGACCTTGCGATACTCAATGTGATGCTCGCAAAAGGATGAAGTAATTTTTTCCTGAAGCTGGAAAAACAGAACAATTATTTTCGGGATCCCTGGTGTGCCCGCACCTCAGAAACAGTGGCTTTTTTAGCTTGATTTTTCCATATGTAGTTCTGGAGGCGGAGGAAGGCAGTTTTGCCATTTCCCCTTGTTGCACATACATTTGAATTAAAACCCACAAGTCAGTTTCCAGACCTAAATCGAGACATGTTTTATCCCAGCATGGGTGAGCCGACAGATTCTATCTGATTCCCAGTTCCGCTCAAAACAACCACTGTGTTGGGGTTAGAGAGGTTAGAGTTGCGTCTTCACCGCTAGCTTAACTTATCCCTCTAATAGAGGAATGCACGGTTGCGTCCCCTTGCCGTCCAAATACCAGGCATGCTCTGTGAGAGAAAGCAAGACATTCTGAATTTTGGGAACAGAAAAGAACAGAAACGACTCTGGGCAGATTCAAAAGAGGAGTCTCTGCATCTCCCGGTCCGCCAAAAACACTCAATTGACCAACACGACGTGAAAGTTGACAGTACCTCCGCTAGATGCAACTGAACATGGCGTAGCTGCAACTTTTCAAATCACCAAAAATGGGCTCAATGCGTCTCCACACAAATTCTACAAGAATGCTGTTTGAACGTGCTTGGTTATCAATTCATTGCTTAAAATGCTTATATATAAAAGTAGAGGACTTGATCATCAAATAAATTCATAATAATGGAAAGACACATGAAGTATCACCGGTTTTGAAAATGAAAACTCCATTTTTCAAAAAAATATAAACATAACGAGGAAAATACGGCGAAAAATGCCCCGTTAATCTGAACCCAAAAGACTAAATAATATTTCGAAATTTCTCAGGATGAAGAAGAATTTCTTTCAGTTTATCCAGTCGATTATGTGGCAAATCGTCTTTGATGACTCGAAGACGTTCCAAGATGTTTTCAATCATTGGCCCAAATTTGGCAACCTGAGGATGATGGTTAAGGATGATTCGAATTGGTCTATCATCATTGGGGAGTAAAAAGTCACTTTTCTGATTCGGTTTGAATAGATGGCCAAGCCTGTAGCCATGGTGGTCGATTCCAATGAAACCAGCGGCTTCTCCAGAAAAATCAACATCAGAGATACCGTCTTTTTCAATCAGAGAGAATAATGAAGGCAGATTCCTCCTGTTCAAATCCGCCAAGAATATCATCTCCTTCACCACTGCGTCCTTGAGAGATCTATCCAGTGTGTAAATCGGTTCAATCTCTTGTAGAGATTCCCCATACTTGAAATAGACTAATCTGAGTACATCTGAGAATAACATGATTGTTTCATCAAACTCCTTGAGTTTTGAATCCAAAGGCAGGACATCTTGAAGTATCTTCTTTTCGTTCGGGGATCCTTTGATAAGATATTTGATCGTAAAGTGCAACATACTGTGTAAAAGCTTAAACTTCAAGATAGATCTGGAGTCGGGGGATCTGATGCCAAGGGATAACCAGTCGATTTGCTTGATCAAGTCCCGCATGAAGAGGCCGATCTCTTCATCCATTTTCTCTCTGCTGATTGTTTCCAATATGGCAGGTCCTGTGAGTTCTAGGAATTTGGCTTGCAAAGCCGCCGTAGGAAAGCCAACATTGAACGTGGCCAACTGGATACCCAGATGTAAGCGCTCTAGCTTTTGCCAGCCTGAATGATCAAAATCTGATGTCAAAAGACAAGTAAGGTGGTTTCAGTCAGGTGTGATTTGGATATTTTCTAGCATGCAAAATCATTCCGAGGTCTGATGTGAATAGAGTGTGAGGAGCGAAATGTCTGAACTAACAACTTGTGAGCGCTCTGAGCTCTTCAGTGAAGGGGCTCTCTTCAAGGGTAAGCTTCAAATCAGAGTTCAAATAAGCAATGGGGACGCCTCTTGTAGTAAATGAAAAGACTGGGAACCTGCGTGCGAGGTAGTTGAATATGATTTGATTTCCATTTTTCTCGTTCAATAATTCTTCAAGCCACTTCTGACTCGTAAGGCCGTGTCTTTCAAAAATGATAAGAGCCTTTACAAGAATGTCATTCAAATGGTGAAGTTCCACTCTTGTCGAAGGACGGCCCGATATGCTTGGTAACAGAGGATTGATGCTTTTTGGATTCTGCAAGATTGCCAGGGCTTTTTCGATTCCCACATAGAAGTCTGAGGCCGCTTGACCACCTCTTCCAACACGATGCACACTCCCCTCAAAAGTTTCGGTGTGTCCGTTGTAGAAAGGTGGGACTGCCTGATTACCTCTTCCAACACGATCGGCCCTCCTCGAAAAATCCTTGCTGACGTCGACGGAAATTTCTTGCACAACTTTCGCGACGATGTTCCGGAGAAGAGCGATTTGATCAGAAAGTTCCTTTCTAGCTCGATCAGTAAAACCAACGGGTACATGCTCCAAACACTGTTTCAATGGCCTCTGCACGTCGTTTTCCAGCGCCTCACGTAGTGCTGTCACATGGACGCCATCAAAAACAATACAATGTTAGCTAGATTGGATGGGACACAGGGCTAGAGCCAAACGTCGCTGTGCTAAGAAAGAATTACAGGTGTAGTCGACTTCTAGATAATCCGCAGAAAATAATTATGATGTATTTATGTCAGTGTAGCCGTAGGTTTTCACAATTGAACTGATTCGACTCGTTCTCACTTTCTTTGACCGCTTTATTCCGCTGACTTAGGCTTTGAACAGAGCCCGTGCGATGGCCGCAAATTGCTAATGGTCACTGTCAGTAGCTGACCTCTTTTGCGACTTGACGTGATTACAAACTGATCAAGCTTACTACGTCCCAGGTCATAGATCGAAGCCGAGCTGAGCGGATTTTCGTATATCTTGGCTATCGAAACCGATATTTTGTCAGATAAATCAATGAGAAACTTTCTACCTGCCAATGACATTGGTCAAAGGTGAAGACCCATACAACATCTGTTTTTGTTCGGATGCTTACAATCTACTCCGTATATGATGGCTTCATGGTGGTAAATTGGCGTCTCCAGGAGATCTTTTGATGTCAGGAAACAAATAACTTGACCGATCATCAAGCTCAATGGTAAAAACAGTGGGATTGTCGACTGGCAGGCGGAAAACATTGCGCTGAAATTAGACGACGCGCTGTTAGTCGACCTTAACACTCGGCGGAAAAAACAATCAATAATCCTTGGGGGTAGTGCAAACCCCAGGTTGCTTGGATTTATATAGACAACAATAATGCACCCAAAGCTTCTGGTTCTGGTCTATGTAGTCCCGAGATTGCCGAGTCAATTTCACAATGTGATACACCCCCAGCTCCCATGAGCTTCTTATCACTTCACCTCCTTGTTACACCATGTCCATTGATGGGCAAGTCTCTGAAACTGACACAAATCACACCTCCTGGCGACATCCTTGGCCGGTTGGTGCGCCGCACATTATGTACCCAGTCTGTGAGAATGGGGAGGGGGGCGGGTTTGGTGTAAGTTGACAAGTGGGTCAGGTTGGGTCGATTCAAATCTTCTAAATACCAAGACCCTACCCAAATACATATCATGAGTCTGGCAGAAGATGGGATTTCATTTTTATGTATTTCCGAAAAGTTTTCTTATTTTCAGTAGCCAAAGGAGCAGGTTGATAAAAACAAAGAAAGAAGGTTGTATGCATGTCAGCTTACCACTATATAGGGCAGGACAAGCTGACCTAGCTAACATACATAATATTCCCTTTTTTATTTAAGTAAGTTATAATGAATAATCACTTTAGATTATGTGACTGAATGATTAAGTGTCAAATAAGAATCTGCAGGGCAAGCAGTGCAAAATCATCTGTGAAATTACTTGTGAAAGTAAGACTGATTATGTCAGTGTAACCAGAGTTGTGATTACCATCACCATCTCTGATCATGATATCATGAACTACTCTAAAAGCAAATCTGACTCCAGAAACAACTCAAGTATTCCAAGCAGTGATGGAACTAGCATTGCTGAACATAAAAGGAGGCCCTACTTCTGGTAAACAACAGCATCAAATCATCACAACAGTGGGCCAGTTACACCAACGGTGCCACAGAGACGATACGAATACGGTATCAGGCGTTTATCTGTATCGTCTCAGAATTGGAATACCCAAAAATACCGGATTTGTGTTGTCTCACTTTGCTGAGACATATACATGTATCGTATTTGAAAAGTGAGAAATGTATTCTGTATCATCTCAGATGACTGATCCCACCAAAACCGTATTTGATACATAAGATACTTGGCTGTATTGAAGAAAAAACGAAAAAAACGAAGACGAATTTCTTTTTTTTTTCATTTTTAAATCCAAATCCGATACAATGTATTTTTTCACCAACCAAGGAAATACTGATACCGGTATCAGGCTCAAAATAAATACAATACGATCCGATACAAATACATGTCTCGTATCTGTGTCACCGTTGGTTACACTAAATGTAGTTTAAGTGTGGTGTAACATAGCCAAATTCCGCTAAACTTTGGTGTAGCATAGCAGAATTCCACCACATCTGCGCTAACACTACACATGTACGCCCCAAAAAAGGGCCCACTATGCTACGCTAACACGCTGGTTAGCGTAAGTTTGGCCCTGTAGCGCTGTTAGTGGCCCAAAGTGCAGCAAAAATCCACTAAAAAGTGCTAACACTACAGGATTTTGGTGCAAAAAAGTGTAAACTTATGCTTTGTGGGCAAAACGTGTAGCAGCCCATCATTGATCTTCACCCCACTTTTTCAACAACTAACTTTCACTACTTTTCCTTTTGTCTCTATTTACAGTACCCATCACTCAACTCACATCCAGCCAATCACATTGCATTGACTCTCCTAAATCACATTGTTGGATATAACTCTACCTTCACCTCACAGGAAGAAACACACTTGAGTGCCAAGGATTAGTTGCCGCAGATATTGTTACAGACCTTACTGTTGAACTTTCAGTCTGGGGATTCAATCTCATCCAGCTACGATGCTGCAAGCAAAAGGGAATAGTGAGATGAACAAGGTTCAAGCCCTAGCTTATTTTGTATTGAATGTATTTAAAGTATATCCATCATGTTCTCATGTTGCTTTTCTCTTTTCTTCATTTGATCATCTAGTTTTCTTGTTCCTTGTCTCACTTGCGTATATATTCCCTCTGCTCCTTTGCCACAGGTCTGTTATTCTTTTTCTTTCCTTTCTTTTCTCTCCTTGTGTTTCTGCCGTTCTTGTCACTTGCCATTTCTAGGTTCGCTTCTGTCCTTGCTCTCTTGTTAGTTCATGATTGGTTATGCCCTAACCCATTGGTAGGAAACCTCAGGTTTGCTTCTCTCCTTGCTCTCTTGTTAGTTCACAAGTGGTTGTGCCCTAAACCATTGGTTGGAAACCTCTGTGCTTTACTTACCAAGTGAGTAGTGCTTTCACAACTAAAAGGCTTCCTCCATACAGACCAAATACCCCCGGTGTAGTATACTTTATGGGTACCCATCTGGTCCATTTCAAAATTTTATGTTTTCTTATATATACACTGTAAAATCACCAGGTAAGAATCTGTTGAATTTTTCTCAGTTATTTCTCTCTCTGACCTTCATCTCTTTCTAGTCATCAAAAATCAGACCAGTCTATAATTATCAAGTAGCTTGTTTTCTGTTGTTATTAAGCCCCTTCTGAGTCAAATATGAACCCTAAGTAATTAGCTTATCGCAACAACTCATGTCTCTACAATGATTTCTTCTCTTTCCTGATTTCTTTGCTTGATTTATTAAAAACTGATTACTTAGAATTAACGACTCTAAATATCTGTGGTTTATAGCATGTTTTTCTTGATTAACTCATCCGGCTTGACTAAAAGAGACTGAGAAGTTTTCTACAGTTTGTTTCTTCCAAGACTCATGTTTCTTCCTCTCAGTCTTTTATTCAATATTCTCTTTTTATTCAAATTAAACTCAACCACATTTCTGACACTTGTATCTAGTCTATTTAAACCTGGCTTCTTACTTGTGAATGAAAACTCATCCGTTCTTTCACTCTTTTTCCGTGAACCTTTCCCAAAAAAGAAACCTTTCTTTTTTGGCCCTCTGCCTCTTGAGTTCATCAGCCCATAATTTCAACAGAATCAAGAACTGGATTCTACGGTGTGGAACTCTTATTGTGCCAGGCAATAGGCAGTTGTTGAAGGGATGGTGCTTTGAGGGCTGCCTATGAGTGGGGTCCAGATAAGATGAGCTGAGAACTGAATAAAAAAAGTGTTGGGGTAAAATTCTGTGGTGGTTGTTGAGGTTGAGGATCTGTAAAGATGAGTATGAGTATCAGAAGAATCACTAATATGAGATCAATAAATTTTGATGGGTCTATCTTGAATCAGATCAGACTGCCATGCCTCTCCATCATCTCAGTTCAAACTGAACTTTGACTCTGGGGGATTGACATGTCATCACATCCCTAACTACAACCCAACTCAACCAAAAAAACAAAAACAAAACAAAACAAAACAAAACAAAACAAAACAAAACAAAACAAAACAAAACAAAACAAAACAAAACAAAACAAAACAAAACAAAACAAAACAAAACAAAACAAAACAAAACAAAACAAAACAAAACAAAACAAAACAAAACAAAACAAAACAAAACAAAACAAAACAAAACAAAACAAAACAAAACAAAACAAAACAAAACAAAACAAAACAAAACAAAACAAAACAAAAGCAATCTTGAAATCTTGTGGCTTGAGGATATTGAAAAGTTGAAAAATTGAAATTCAAAACTTGACCTTGAGGGTGCCTGTACCATCTAGAACACCACAATGGCCAATTTCACCCTTGGTCACCACTAGAGGCATCTCTGCAACTCTACTGGATTGGAAGTTGTACACCTCTGGACACTCACACCACTCAATTACATATACTCTCAACATCATCAACCTTCATGTTGGAATTTCACTGTCTTTTCCACTCATCCCTAAAACAACTTTTTGAACTCTGTTGAGGTGTCTGATAGTCTGCTACCATGATGTATCACTACATGTCAAACCATGAGCACTACCACCCAACTAACCTGGAAGTCACAAGTGTCTGCAGCCTAGTTGGTAAAGGCAGCACTCTAGTATGTGTCTCAGCCTAGTTGGGTCTGTGCACTTCTAACCAGCCAGGCCTAGCTATCTGGCTATTTGCCATGGACAAATTTGACATGGCTTTGCCTTTTTCATGTGTCATCATGTTCTTGATGTTTTTGTTTTCATCACCAATTTGATTCTATTGAGATTATGATTCATTGAATGTGGCTCTAGGCGATATGTGTTGGTACAATTACTCATGACACATAGCCAGCATGATTAGCTAGGTTGAGAGCATCCCAGTTAAACTGTGATGCATGCAACCAATTTAAAATGGGTGATTTCAACCAATTAAATCTAAACCAAAGGTAGCCCTGGATTTACATTTCATTAGTTGAAATCAACCTATTTTAAATTGGTTGAATGCATCCCAGTTTAAGTGGGATAACTTCACCCAGCCAATTATGCTAGCAGTGATACAAATTGTGTATTGTATCTGTTGCAGAATTGAGAAAGCTTAAAAATAAAAATTGTCAGGATTGACTGGGATTTTTCTCTAAGTGTCACTTGAGCCACCTCAGAGTCTTATATCAAATACACTTAGGAAGGTTATCTTTATGGACCTTGTCTGACTTCAGAATTTTTGACTTTTCACCTCTCATAATTAAAATTCTTCAGCTACCTGCAATTAATACCAATTGGACTTTAGTATTTAATATTCCGGCTGATAGGCTTTGGGAGGAAGTTGATCCGAGTGCACCTGTTTTTGGGGCCACACCCACACTGGTCAAAAAATTAGTTTGCAGCACATCCCAAAAGCATTGTTCTTGAATTATAAAGTTGGAAATGTGCGGACATAACAATCCAACCCCGTGGTGGGCAGATGCTGTTCAATGAGCTCTTTGGCCTGAATGTATAATCTGGCTGATCACTGGCTGGACCACCATGTCTTTTCAACAGTTCTTGTCAGAAATGCAGTGACATCTAACCTCAAAACGCTTTCAATAGGGGGTATCAAATCTAACCAAATCCACCATTATTTAATTGACTGGTTTTAAAAAATCCGCCCTTTTTTAAACACGTTGGTTCTTCATTTAACCCCTTTTGGGGCCCATGGGTGCAAAAAAAAGTTTTGGGAAAAGTGACTGGTTTCTAATAGTGGATTTCTTATATTT